GGCTGGCCAGCTCTATCACCATAAATACATGGCATCGTGCCATCCTGGGTCACCAGTGTCCATGCCAGATCCCGTGAGCATTCGGACTGCTCTTTTGTTTGATTAGGTGCCTCTGTTGTCAGCAGTCTCTTTGCTTCCATTAAGAAAATGTGGAAAGATGTGGCCAGGGGCCTTTCTAAAACGTGTCTCATCAGAACCAATCAGTGGACCGAGGCGTTTTTCAGAAAGCACAGACCCATGTACCTCACTAATGAGCTCTTCCCAATAAGACCCCCTTTCGGCCTGCCCTCCTAATTAAAAGGGATCACACAAAGGATTATCTTCACTTGTACCAACGTTCATGATCAGACATTTGCCTCAAAACAAAAGCACGGCCTGAAAAGGGTCTACAGTAAATGTTGATTGTGTTCCAAACAAACGGTTCTTATTTAGTTCAACAGGGTTCTTTGGAATTTGAAAGAATCCTTTTGATACCACAAAAGTGATTACTTCTGCAGTAAAAAAAAAACTATATATATATATAGCATAAAGGTACTTGGGACTCACTGTAAAATATTCAGCTCTTATGCTAACTGTAGGCTACTTAAGAAAGATAAGAGTCTTTTTATAAATGATTTGCTCTTTTGAAATTGAAAAATGATTAAAGAACTACTGAAAAATGTAGTTCTTTATAATAGCTAATTTGTTGAATTGTCCTGTAATGTGTCAAATGTCACAAGAAGTATCAGAGTAGGTCAAATTGATGAGTAGTGATATATGATACATGATATATGAAGCTCATGTTTATGATGACAAGCTTTCAGTTAGTTGAACAGAATATGGGACCAAAGATACATGCTAATAAACGACATGCAATTTATCATTCACATACTCATCTATCTGGGTGTTGGATGACAGACACCTAAAGTCTAATCCAATTAGACTTTGGTTTATGACTAACAGTATTGAACGCAACACTGCCACTCCTGACTGGGCAATAAATATATACATGGGAGGGAATATTATACACTGCCAAAGCAATTCCAGTAAACAGATACCAAAGTTTAAAAAAGGAATATAATGTGAATGACTGAATGTTTCCATGGTCAGTCAGGGTGTTGTCTTTCCTCATAGACAAGATCATAAAATACGTCCTGATAAGTAATGATGCACACTGGCACCTGAATTCAGAAATGATTAAAGAACGATTAATGTGGATGGATGTGCCAATCCATCAGGATGTTCGAAGGTGTCACACATGTGTTGATAGTTACTGTGTCTGCCCAGAGACTACAGATGAAAATTAGCTCATTAGATAGGCATATTTACATTGATGGGCAAACTGAAATTCTGATTAATGTGCATTGTCACTGGTAAATAAAAAAAAGAAAATAAAAAATGACATTTATAATATCTAACATACCCTCCCTTCTTCCCACTTTCCTTATTTATTACCTAATTTTTTAGGGTTAGGGTGGGGTTGGAATTCCAGTATTTCTATAGGCATTATGTTTGTTTTGTGTTGTTTTATTCACTTCATTAGTATTTAGATATTTTGTCATTTCTGGCTTTTTTGGGGGGAAATAATTGTGTCTCAGTGTACATGATTTGTATACCTGATTGTTTTAATACCAAAACGTGACAGTAGAATGTAAATAACTAAAAAGTGTAGTACACTGATTTACAATCTAAATCGGTTAAGTCAGGTTGACCTAACTGATTTCTTGTAAAGACATCATTAAATGAGGTCACCACACAGTAAAAAGAAGAGACATACACAAGACTCACTATAAATGAAACCCAAACTACAGAGTGAATAAATGAAAAATATAGCCTAAAGGTTCACATGTTGCTCTGTCTGTAGTATGTTGAGTGTTTATTCTTGCATTGTTTATGCACCTTGGTACGAAAGGGGAATGACATTTCGTTCAGACTGGCTTGAATGATGCACACTAATGGCTTTGAGCAGGTGTGGAAATCAAAGGATGTCTTGCTTGCTGTATATATCATATATTGTTCATCTACAGACTTACTGTGTGGCACTTGCAAACAGGGCCATAATCAGAATCAGCTTTATTTGCCAGGTATGTGTACACATACAAGGAATTTGACTCTGGATTGTACAATACTCACGATGTGCTTACTTACACAATAATACAATAACACAATAATACAGTAATAAAATCAAACACAGGCTACAGTATAGAGAACACATATATACACACTATAAACAAAACAGACAGATTGAGACAATAGTGCAATAGTGCCATGAGCAGAGTGCAAAGGATGAAGGAGAAAATTGTTATCACCATTATTGTTATTATTATGTACATATCGGAGGTGGATATGATATACAGGTGCACATACACATACAAGCATCATGTACACGGTGTGATGAGTGCAAAGAATGCTGGAATAAATAAATATTATGTGCGGTGTTATGTACATGAGGTAGGTGAATTTGGTGTACAGTACATACAATATGACAATCTGAACAGTATGAACAGCTTTGAAATGGAGAATGATGAATAAATAAATGATAGGTGGAAGCCAGTAAACAGGGATTACTGCACAGGAATTGTTCCTGACACTGTGAGGCAGAAATCAGCTGTTCATCAGAGTGATGGCTTGTGGGAAGAAACTGTTCCTGAGTCTGTTTGTGTGGGTGTCCAGTGCTCTATAGCGCGTAATGAGATATGATAATTTTTATACTGTCCCTGTAGAATACTTTGCAGTTTAATAATAAAAAAAACATGTTTCTTAAAATGTATAGTACTTTATTCAAAAAGGAAATTTTAACTTTTTATATTAGTCCTGCATGGTGTCTAAACTTAACACATTCTACTACTCATACATTACTGTAGAGAAGTGATGAAAAGTAACTAAGTATACTCAAAGACCATACTCAATACTCAATGACCGTAGTCTACTGAAGTACAGTTTTGAAGTATTACTTTCATCTCCTGCCACTTTAAACTTGTACCCCACTACATTATATATTAATAGCTACTTTGCAGATTAATATTTCACATACAAAACAAAATATGATGCATTATCAGCTAAATTTCCCAATAAAGTAGGTAATATTTCCTCGACCAGCTACTTCATAATAATGCTGTCTATATTTTACAACATGTACAACAGCAAACAAATAATATATTTATTAGATATAACACTCTGTATAATGAGTACTTTTACTATGTTGCTGGTAATACGTTGAGTGGGCCTACTTCTCTTTAAGAAACAATTTGAAAGAAGGACCTTTACTTGTAACAGAGTATTTCACACTATTACTACTTTTGTTTAAATAAAGGTTCTGGGTTTAGTTCTTCCACAGCTTTTCCCTCTCTTCACTGAGTTCCCTGAATACAAATTAACGCTTTTCATAGGCGACCCTGAACTTTCGTGTCAGACTGACACAGTTTTTTCTGTCCATTACGGTAAAAATGTCGGCCTGGCGTGTGCTCTCTGCTCTGTAAATAGCAGAAATGGGGGTGTAGCGGGGAACTGCAGAAACCCAAAACAACCATGGGGCTGGATTAGCACTTCCAAAACCAAAAAATGGCGATTACGGAAATATTCTCGAAGGTTGCAAAACCTTAAACACGCGCTATACACAGACAGAATGTGGTCATAATACAAGGGCAAAACGTTTAGCACCTTTTTTGTACAGCAGTGGTGAAATCCACGGAATGTTCCACACAGGGACAGCTGACCGTAGGATGCCGCGCTTAGCCTAACGAGATGTGATCATTACAAGGGAAATATCAGTGATCAGATGTGTGCATATTAACAATCAGGTAACAGCACTCCTCCTCTTGTTATTGCTTTGTCTCGGTGGGTTTTGGAGATGTACGGTGTTTACGGGAGACGGTTGGACGGGTTGTTAGGGTAGTCATCTTGCTCAACCTCCAGCCCCTCCTTGTTTTGCTGCTACCGAGAGAGATGTTGTAATGTTTACATTTAGTCTGTGTTGCATACCACTGCCGCGCTCCAGTCGGCTTATCATTTGGTGCATACTTTTGAATGCATTCAAAAGACCACATTATGCTCCAGTGCTTTGCAGTGAAGCATTCAGAACAAGCAAAGACATTATTTATTAACTCTTCCTGGATAAATTGGGCCTGATTGGTAGATTTTAAGGCCTTATAAAGCTTAATAGTCCTCAAGTGCAACATCACATCAGATATTTTGCAGCTGCATTCGCAGGCCTACAGAAGCCTAGCTGAGACTTATATGTCTTATAATAGTTCATGTAGGATGTTTCTCACTTGATCATGCAAGTGCAATATTACATAACCGACTGGGTAGTTTACAGTAGGTGAGGTACTCCAGTGAGTAAAAACAGACTGTGGGCCACAGCAGAGTTACAGACCTAAAGGCGGTGTCTTCAACAAAATAAACACTTAATCTAATCAATTAAAATACAATTTTACTCTAATATTTTTGTTTTTGAGGGACTACAGGTTGCAACAAGAGAGAAATTCCCAAACCTTTCAAGTCCTTGATGCGCAAATGGTAAATATTAGACGTTCCTCAATTGGCAAGAGTTCGACCTGTGGAAACCTTTCCTGATTATTTTGTAGATCTATTTATAGCGATCATCAGTGGTGGAAGAAATATTAGATCATTTAAGTTAAATTAGCATACCACACTATAAAAAAACACCACAAGTCAAACTCAAGTAAAAGTACTGAAGTATTTGCAACAAAATACACTTATAGTATCTAAAGTAAAAGAACTGTCTTCTGTCAGTGTTACTGTATATAACTTGATCACTATTACTAACTTTTACTAATGACTAATTATTAATAAATGAATATGTAAACAGTGCTTCATAAAACATTGTAAAGTAACACGCTGTTAATGTAGTGAAGTAAATTATATATCATTAGTAAGTATATAAAGAGATGTAGAAATATACAGTTGTATAGAATGGAAATACCCAAGTAAAGTACAAGTACCTCAAAATTATTAAAAGTACTGTGCTTGAGTACTTACTTTTCAACACTGGGGACTATTATTTCAAAAGCATAGCCTGTAGTAGTTTGTGCTATATGTAGCAAGATAATAATTTACATATATAAATAAAATGTTTATTAAACAAAACTTTAATAATGTACAGGTAACAACAGGAACTGCTTGTTTTGATACATTGTAGCAAAGAATGTCTGGATGTCGACTGTCTGTGTTTGCTGCGCGCTGATTGGTCACTGAAAAGGAGGCGTGGTTTAGCCATAACAATGCATTTCAAGGAACATACACGCGCCAAGGAATTCTTCTTTATCGTTGGGCTCTAACGTTATCTTTCCACACGTTTAACAGTATTTCCAGAGCAGGCTAACGCCGCGGTTAACGTACATTGCCATTTTACAATTTTTGGAGAAAATTGATCCCCTATGCGGCAGTTGGAAGCGTATGTTAGCTGGCTAGCGTTAGCAAGCTACTAGCAGCTCCGTCCGACATTGTCAAAAATCTCTCGGAGGAAACAGCAGCCGATTGATAGTCAGGTAACATTAGTTTACACCGACTGATGGTAGTCGGCTATCGGCGGTTGCAGGCAAGGATAACTTGATGGGACGGGACATTTCGGAGGCTGAAACAACTACCATCTGTCCTTCTCACTGGGCAAGCAAACTAGCTAAGAAAGTAAGATGTGGGCTGTGTTGTTGGCCAAGCCATGTTGGCGTCTGTCTGTGCTGTAACTTGTTACATGGGTAGAATATCCGGTGATAATTGAGCAAGTGTCCTAACCATGTATTAGCATGCTGGCGAAATCGCTCGCTATCAGCAGTTATCTGCAGCTGCTGAGTCCTGCTATGGCTGGACAAAGCGTTAGCCTAGCTTGCCCAAAATTAGCTGATCTCCTTCAACAGGGGACGTCGAATTTGCCCTGGCAATGAAAAACCAACGGCCGTCACAACGATAGAGTTAGTGTTTGTCATCTTAGCCGTAAAGTGAGCACGGCTTCGCACAATACGTGTGAAACTGTGTAACGGTGCAGTGACCTCCTAAATTCTACGATAGCTATTGGTCCCGCTTGCCTACCATGTCTTTTGTTGTTGCTTTGTCTTTTGAGCACATGGCTTTCCATGTTTTTGTTGAGGCAGGTTACAGCGACCCCTATTTATCATGTCCCCGAATATACCGCATTAATTACTCTGCCACCTTAACAATAATTAATTCACTGTATTTTAGCACGTTCGGTTAATCTCAACACATGTAACGGTAATGTTAAAGTCTTTGTAATACACTGACATAAAAAATTTAACTAAGGACCGTGTATAACTGAACTGACGTGTGTCAGTATGTGTTGACTATTTTTTTCTTAATAAGAAATGACGTGAATTTATTGTAAGTTGCCAACATAGTGGTGATACTGTCTAGTGTGTTAGTGTATTTTCCATTAATAAAGCAGGAACTGAAAGTCCTGAAAGCAGTTGAATGTGAATTTCAGTACACATTTTTAAGTCTTTAAAAAGACCCAGCAGTCATCCTGCAAGGTAAATGTCAGGGGAGAAAGGTCAATGTGGAATTAAATATTATCCAGATAAATAACCAGTAAGTATTTTCGTGCACTGCAGCTTTCAGTCAAAAGTCATCTAGAAAGTGGAGTAAGCTGGTCTTGCAGATTGTATGTTGACGTATATAGATAATGTTGCCGTCAATCACCATGCAGGACAGTGATTGTAATCTAGGCCATTTCCAAAGAAATATAAGAAGCCCGGAAAAGGTCAGTGAAAGCAAAGTGCTGCAGTAAAATAAATTATTCTCTGAACAAAAACATCTGCTTATATGCTTTGTATGTGCTTCAGTAAAATATGAAGTTACACGTTTTTTTCTCAAATCTATTCCTTAACTCATTTTTATTAAGTTACAGCACAGTTAACTTAAAATTGCATTTCTTGAGATTCAAGCTAAACTGCGTAGAGCAGCTGCCACCAAAGTAGGGGTCCAGATACCTTTTTTAGAGAAATTACCAACAATTTAAATGTGCAATTATTTCAACCCTGATTTTATTAGCATATAATTATAAAATTCAGTTTTACAACATCAAATTTTACTGAGGTGTGTGGCGTAACAGATCTGAAAATCTTTGTGATTTTTAGAAATAAGGTGTAGAAATGTGACTAGCACTTTAGACAATTTCCTATATCTGGTGTGTTCCTGTTGGAAAGAGGGAGTAACACTAGTTACCATTGCCATTTTTTTACTTTGTGACTTTCTATAATGACTAGCCCGTGTTCAGTTAATAGGTAAAGGACATAAATAAACTCTGTAGCAAAAGAAGCAATGTGAATTTATCCATGTGTTTTTGCAGGGTTAAGACAATCAGAGGCAACATACAAGTGCCTCCACTGTACAGTTTCCTTTCCCAGAGTGTGACTCGTCTGCACGACGTCACCAATGCGACCATGGGAAATAGCAGTAAATAGGCTGCCACCAACAGCCCCCTTAAACCCAAGGAGGTTCCTTGGAGAGCCCTGCAACGCCCCAGTGCATCTCAGGAGAAGGTAAAAATGCTGCCTTGTCTTTTTCATAAGACATTTTTCTATTAATAATACATTTTAAGATGGAGATACTTTCAACATCAACGAAAGTCAGCTTTGTGTGTGACTCATGTTGCCTTTCCCACGCAGCCAAAAAAAAAGTTAATGCACCTGTCCTTTTCTTGAAAGTAAATTTAAAAATGAAAACACACTTGTTAGAGCTAAAGGCAGATAGATAATATGTGTGTTAGTAATCCTTACAACAAACATTTTCTCGAAAGTGTGAGCATTTGCCTGTGGCATATGTTGTCATAATATTTTGACAGAATAATAGACCCCCCCCATGTTGGATAATAACACATGTAACAGGAGAAATTATTATCCATACTGTTAACCGGGTCATGCAATGATGTTTAGCATGTTAAAAGAGTTTCCAGTACTATCTCCTTCATTAGGAGCATCGGAACCTCCAGCTACAGTATATTGTTAGAGACAACATGTTTCCCAGCTGCTGTCCAGCAAAATGACACACAGACTCTGAAAAGTATTTGAAGCAACCTTAGCCAATATACCTGATTACAATAAACAAAAACTTGAAAGTATGTCTTGCACGTTTCTCCATAAGATATTCAAGATTGCCACTAGGGCTGGACGATATGGCCAAAAATATCTTTCGATATCGATAATTACCACAATAAAAATCAAATGGTTCTTTCTTTCGGGTTTAAAGGCTGATTTTTGCTCCTGAGTGAAAGTTGAAGGAACCTGATGGTTAATTGTGGTTTAAACTTTTCTTTATGGTCAACACTTGAGGCCAAACCAATGGATCACTTCACAAATCTGAGGCAGAACATTCAAACCAATTATGATAAAATCTTTGTTAACAAATATACATGAGTGAAATTAAGTAAAAGCTTTTTTCAGTCCTTTTTCCTCAACAAAATAAACCTCTTATATAAAGTAAGTCCCATTTTGTGTATGTTTCAAATGAATGAAATCAAACATTAATTGAATATTTACATTCAATTAATTACATTTTTAACATTTAAATGGTCTATGTTGAAAAGCAGTTTTCCACCTAAAGTAATGAAACTGGTAGCTCAAGAAAATGGCATGCAATCCATCTACCTGTTTATAGGCATAATGTATTGAACTATCTGTGGCTACTTTTTGTCACCCCTCCCCTGTACAATCTCAGTCCACCAGTGAGACGCCAGTGGGGGAGACGAGACAGACCTGTACTGCACAATTCCCTGGTCCAGGATGAGAACTTCCATCATCTACTTTTCTCCCAACATCACCAACAGGTTCCTTTAGATGAGTCCAGACAATTCGGCCACACCAGCACACCACCACGCATGCTTCACCCTGCTGCTCACCTGCCCCAGCAGAGCCCCATCATGGTGGATCTACACGACCAGGTAACAGAACAAGAACAACCTGATGGGAAAATTAGTGATAACATTTATTGAACACGATTTGCTGTTTTTTTTGACCAAATGTATTCAAATAGTAATGTTCAGATTTAATATGAAACATGCATGGTGTTGTAGTGGGATACAGTAAGTTGCTTTTGGCAGACATGCTTCTGTTTTAGGCAGATTGTGGAGTCACCACCCCTCCCCTCCCCCACTTCTCTTCTTAAAAGATGCACCAGGGATCAGTTCCGATATCATACACTGTTACGACGGTGACGACCCACGGATTCCCCATCCACACCGGGCAGCCCCTTCCAGGGTGCAACACTCAGCAGCTCCCAGCATGCTCGGTAATGTTCAGCGGACAGCTCTCTCTGCTCTGCTGCCTTCCTCCTCCTGTGAGTTTGAAAAGGAAGAGCCCAAATGTCAGTGGCATCCATGTAGCACACCATACCAGCCATGCAATCTGTCACTGTTCATGACTAACAAATGAGCTGCTGCTGTTACTGTGCAGGATTTGTGGTTTAGTATTAATGTTAGCACAAATATGAGCAACAGTTAAGCAACATAAAATGTGATTATTTTGTATATGTAGTTTATTTGTGGAAACAGACTCATAAATTATTGTGGTGTTGTGGCAATACTGTGCTGTGGTTGTACGTAATGCATCGCTTCTGTTCACTACACACTTAAACATGCTGTCATTGTAGCTGCCTTACTGCAAACATGAGGAGCACTTTTTTTTTTGTTTAGGCAGAGGCTGCTTTAAAGTGTTTGATTTGTTGAAATAAATAAAATGAGAGAGGAAAACTGATTTACTTAAATTTATGTCCGTTCCTGTGTTCCTTTTCTCTCCTCAGCTCATACAGGCATGTACCATGCAGCATATGCCAGTGTCTTATCAAGCCTTTCCACCCTTGATCTCCAGCGAACATTTTGTATTGCACCCAACCCCATCTGTACCCCCCCACCAGCCGCCACACCTTACTCCTTTGAGCCAGTTTGTCCCTTTACAGCCTCAACACCCACGCATGGTGAGTGGTCCACAGCATACACATGTTTATCAATGAAAACGCAGGACAGTGATTGTAGAATTGAATCGCTAGTTTGTTCATTTGCATACAAATGTCCAACAGCAGCCTTTTCTGTACATCTGTTGCTCTCTCCCCTCTTAGCCTCTACAGAGGGTAGAGAATGAAGTTGACCTAAGAGGGGACCAGCACCCATTAGGGACCTTCCCCTACCCTCCCTCTCATCACCCACCAGCGCTGCCTCCTTCTCTTCCCCTACAGTATCTTCCTCAAGAGCCTCTGCATCAGGAGCTTCCCTTTGGAGTGGTAAGCCTCTGAGACATTTTCAGACATTTTATTTCCCTGAGGAACTGACAGTGAGGTCAGATTGACACATTCAGTCCAGTACACAGGGCAGCTGCAGGTCTTGAAAAGTCTTGAATTTTGTTTACTTTTTATTAAGAAGTTCTTAATTTGCTTAACAAAATTCTGAAGTTAATTTTTATTCGCCTGCCATAGGCATTATCGTTGGTTATAAATCGTTCATCATCAATCATTATCAATTGCGGACTTGGGAGAGGTTACACGCTTAATAACTACGTGTTGTTGTTTTGATTACGATAGATTTTAAGACTTAAATTCACTGAAAGTGAATTATCAGTTTTAATTGGTTAATTTATCTATCCATTTTATGCCATTTATCCAATCCAAGTGACATTAACGTAATTTATTATGTCATTAGGAATCATTGTTAAATACTGTGAAAAATGTGATGAAATTCTGAAATGAAATCATTTTAACAACCTAGTTTTCCATCGTACTTTCATACTTTGGCCAGTATGCTTGTGCAACAGGTATTAAATTGCATTCTTTGTTGTATAAAAAGGTTTTCAATTTGAACCCTGCAGAAACCCTGAGTACAACTGCTTTCTGTTACTACTGGCCACTGAGCTGCAGCAGTCTGGGAATATCTGACCCGTTTCACATTTAGCTAAATGGCATTGTACATTATGGAAAACCTTTGGCAGCGAGGAAAGGAAAAGCAGGCGATGCTCACAAAAGTAACACATCAGTTAAATCCAAAATACAAAGAAGCTTGTTCTCCTGTTCACTTTAAGTATAACTAGAGATGCGCTGAATGTTTGGCCACCAAAATTAATCGGCCAAAAACACTTTTGGTGTTTGGCCTAATATGTCAAAAGACCGAATAAATTTTACCGGACAATTACGTTGATATGTCAGCAGTGTGGAAGCATTTTAAAGTGTCTGAGAAAGATGCAAAAATCGCCATTTGCAGACACTGTTCTGCTGGATTATCTAGCACATCCACTCAATCTGTGGCTGACTTCTCAGAAAAGGCAACAAACGGTCTGAACCACTTTGAGTGTTTCTGTTGATGTGCTAGCCGCACACGTATTCAAGCCTTTATGGTAAATCCACTGAAACGGACCAGAGCAAGCTGACAGGCAGGTTAGCGATTTTATCCTGTCATTTAAAAAGTCTGACAGTTTAGTTAATAACGTGCATTTTTCATTTGTAAAAAATAAACTAATAAAAAGCATTTGTGGGTTCATGTTCCTGTTTCAGTAAAATTCAGATTTCATAAAAAAAAAAGTTTGTGATCCACTGTCTTGACAGTGCTAGGCATGTTCCTCATTTTACCTATTACTCATGGAGAAATTAAATCAGTAGATTACTCATTACACAGAGGTGCCTTTCTACAGCGCCACATGCTGCGTCTTCTGTATTTAACAGCTGTAGAAATAACTAATAAGATTGTGTCTGTAAATATTTTATTGTAATTGCTGACTGTATTGTATGTGCTGTTCTTGGCTTTTCTTAAAGGCCATGTGCTTATTTCAGAATTTTCTGCTTTTCCTGTTTTTTCCTAACCAGTGTTAATGCAAGCAGACTTTTCTTAAACTTGCTACCATTATAAAGTGAAGTGGAAGAAGATGGTTCACTTTAATCATAGACTTCTGATTTACATAATTCCCTTCATTTCTGTGTGTTTCTCCTCAGCCATATCCCCACATGCTGCCCCGGCGCGTGAGTGGACAGAGATACCGGTTGCAGCAACCTCTCCCCCCTCCTCCTCCCCCTCCATCTTACTACCCAGGCTTCCTTCCGTACTTCCTGTGAGTACCTGCAGTAAAATCTTCCCCTTTATGGAGTGAAGCAATCTTAATTATGTGGTTATTTACTTGAATGTAAAATGCCTGATCACACTAAGTTACACTGGTATGTGTCAGAACACTGCAGCTTAATAAAACTCAAAAATGAATGGAGTGAAGAAGCATAGAAATGATGATTAACACTATCTAGTGTTAGCTAGTTGGTATGCAGCGAATGTTCGGCCACCGAATTTAATCGGTCGAAAATAGCATAAAAAGCACTTTCCGGGTTTGGCCTAATACATCAAAAGACCGAATAAATTTTACAGAACAATTATGTTGACATATCGGCAGTGTGGAAGCATTTTAAAGTGCCTGAGAAAGATGCAAAAATCACAGTGTGCAGACACTGTTCTGCTGAATTGTCTCCTAGCACATGCACTCCCTCTGTGGCTGACGTCTCAGAAAAGGCAACAAACGGCCTGAACCGCTTTGAGTGTTTCTGTCACTTGTTTGTAAGAAGGCGCACCTAAATTTGGAGTGCACACGTATTCAAGACTTTATGGTAAGTCCACTAAAATGGACCAGTGCGAGCTGACAGGCAGGTTAGTGACTTGATCCTGTCAGTTCCTCTCTTTAAAAAGTGTTGCAATATGAGATTCCTACCTGAAGAGAGACTATGAAGTCTTCATGTGACGCGAGAACCACAAATCAAATCGGACTCGATGAATTTAGCGCGTGGATACACATGTAACAAAGTCCGGTTTTCAAAATAAAGTATCTATACAGTATGGAAATAAGATTAATTGGATTATATTTACAGAAAGTGTGTACATTAAAAGTAAATGGACACGTGTAATTTACTTTACTGGACCCTCTTGGGCCTCTGACCCACCCACCATAGTCTCACCAAATCCTGTGAGAAACACTGAGTAAAAAGCACATTTTGACTATTTAATTTATGCAGTGGTAAAAAAAAAACGTATTTGGGAAAGTTTCTCATTATATTTTATTATATTATATTATATTTCAGTGAATCCCTACTAGTCGGCGTTGGTATTTGCAGAGAAGGTGCTGCTTGCAATCGCCACGCTTTGTGTGAATGCTTGCTCAACAAGTTATGTTCCTCTCTCTGCTCAGGTCAATGCTTCCTGTGCCTCCAACAGCAGTGGGCCCAGCCATCAGTCTAGACCTGGATGTGGATGATGTGGAGATGGAGAACTACGAGGTAAGTGTGATGGTTTATGGAAAAACAAATCAGGCCGCATGCAATCTAGACAGTACATACCAAAGGATTCGAGCAAGTCTCTATAAGTTTGGTTATAAATGTTCAATCAGTTGTAATTCAAAGAAAGGTTAGATGACACACGGTGTAACTTTAGAGAGGTTCACGTGTACAAAAGTTGTTGTTTTTTTTTTTTTGTTTTTTTAAATATATGGTCATAAATTCTAAAAGCTAAGCCTTTTTCTCTGTATTATATCTCCAATGAGTTGTTGGCTTTATGGCTTTATGTCAGTTTCATGGTATTGCACAAACTATTTCACATTCCTGGTAATTGATGGTCTGACGCCTGACAGACCCCCAACATCATCAGCATTGTCCCCTCTCTCTCTCTCCTCTCTGTGTAGGCATTACTGAATCTAGCAGAGAGGTTGGGCGAAGCGAAACCACGTGGACTCACTAAAGCAGATATAGAGCAACTTCCGTCCTACAGATTCAACTCAGAGAATCATCTATCTGAACAAACGCTGTAAGCCTTTTCCTCACCTTTTAATCAACCAGACCACTTGTATTCAGTCGATACAGATGCATCTGTATCGTGTTAACTCGTCCCTTTCCTCCCCTCAGGTGTGTTGTGTGCTTTAGTGACTTTGAGTGTAGGCAGCTACTTCGGGTATTACCTTGTAACCACGAATTCCACGCAAAGTGTGTGGATAAATGGTTAAAGGTAAGTTGACAAACAGTTTCATGGTGTTGTCGTTTTGTATGAATATTTTAATACACAGCAGTGTTTCCCACAAAATTAGATTCTGTTTGTGGTGGTAGCTGAGGAGGGTGTGGGGGCACACCTCGGAGTTAAAGAATTAACATTAATGTTATCCACTTACATGAGCAGTCAATATTCAGAGAGAGGAGGGGCAATTTACAGATGGGTCCGTCTGAGAGAGGATAAGCGAATCAATCGGCTGCGCACATCTCTAGAATGAAATAGGATTTAACAATTTTTAAAAGTAAAAAAAGAAAATCAATATGTGGCGGTCAATGTTGATATTGTGGCGGGCCACCACAAATAAATCAGTGTGTGGGAAACACTGCACACTTTTAATGTCTTTATACTGAATGTTTCCGCTTGACTTCCAGACCAATCGCACTTGTCCTATCTGCCGAGCCGATGCCTCGGACGTACACCGGGAGGTGGAGTGAGAACTTTGCCTATCTCTGAGTGCTGAACTGGATAGCTGCACACACCAGAGTCTGTCCCAAAGCTGGGGACACCTGCCACCTAACCTGCGTCCTCCAGTAAATATAGCTTACCAACCCACTATTCCTGCCCCTTCCTAAATAATAAGCAATCCAGGATTGTTTCTTGAGCCTGTTGTACCTCTGCTGTGCTTCATTGTCCAAGTCTCATGAAACCCACTGCCTATCGCAGCCTATTGCCGGAGTTCTGGGATTGCCAGCCAGTTCTTTCTCTGCCCCTTCGTTGCAGATTCCAAAGATTTTCCCTACAATGCATTATTTGCTGCTTTTGTTTACAGGGTTTCATTTTTATTTAGAGGATTTGGTTGGGGTGTTCACGCATAGTGGGAATCCTGCGTTGGAAGAGGTGAGTCGAGTAGCCTGGAGGATGATAGGCTGGACACCTTGTGCAATTAGCAGAAAAATAATAGGAATACTTCAACATGGGTATCTGTGTTTGGAGGCGACGCCTGACCATCATAGAAGCATGTTTGTGTAGGTGTTGGGCAAAGTGACTTGTTAATAATGTATGTTCTGCAATAATGTATTGATCATTACAACAGTTTTACCCCTTGTTTTTTTTAGATTTGCCAATGCTTTTGTGAAAGTGTGACTTGCTGTGGTTAAATGCAGATTCTGTTAAGCCTGAGGGTATGGACTGCAAGTGATGGGACATGCAATTGTGGGGTATTTTCCACCCCAGATTATCCACTCTGGAACACAGATCTGTACAAAAGCAGTCATGGATTAATGGACTGCGTCTTTTCGAGGTCATCTGGCATAACTGCACAAGTGCTACATCCACCCTCCATGTCAGCATTGTTCCTCTGGCAAGTGTGTACACGTGTGTGTGTGGGCAAAGTGAGTGTGCGTGCGTGTGTTTGTCCTGTTCACAGAGCCAATGCATTGTGTAACCACTGGATACAGGGCAGCATGCTAGGATTTGCATGAACTGTTGATTCAGACTAGCAATATTTTAATCAAGCATTGCCACCAAAATCATCAAATTTTAAGAAAAAGAAGAGACAAAGAAGCATACTAAAAGAAACTGCTTGCTTATTCAGAAAGCGCCATGAGGAAGACTAGCATGTGGTTCCACACCCTGACTGCGTTTAAGGATGGGAGTCCTCGTCTGAAGGCTACGCTGATGCCGTAGAGCTCTGGAGGCCTGTGCAGAAAGCAATATGTGCAGTGAGTGGCGGGTTTTAAATGAACATTCTTCCCCTTTTTAGGAAGATTGGGCTTTTTATTTCTTAGTTTGTGAGCCAAATCCAATATACAGATATAGCCTATACTGTTCAAGATTTCAGATCTGCCTTCTTATGACCTTGACAAGCACAAACCTATTACTAATCCTGAATAATACTGTCATTTTCACTTGTTTTAAAAAGTATGCCGTTTCTTAAAAAAAAAAAAAAAAAGGTTTTATTTATTGGTTTTATCTTCTAGAGAAAAAACATTGAAGGAAACAGTTGGAGCACTAATGACGTTCGTGTATGGTATGTGTTATATTCTGGTAACTTGGTCGGGTCGTTGTCTTAGGCCAATGTTAATGGTGTTGTAAAAGAGCAACTGTATGTATAGCTTCAGTGTGAATGCTTCTAGATAAACGTTTGAAGACAGAAGAATGTTGAAAACCTCCCCCGTAGAAGTCACTGGTGATGTTCCTCGATACACCAGCTGTCTGTATCCCTCAGTGATCAGATCGGGGTACAAATGACAGAGCTGGAGTGTTCAGTAGTGTAGAAACACTGTTAGACTTCTGGTTCCCTGCTTGTGTTCACACACACAAACAAAAAAAAAAACAGGATACATTTGTTGTGGGAGCAACAAAAGAGCAACAAATAGGCCTTTGCTTTAGAATCACTTTTGTCTGTTAACTGCCCCAGTAAGCACTAACAAGCAGTTGTAACCTTTGCTTTTATGTGTAAAGGGATCTTGCCTTTTTCTTTACCTTTGTTTCTTAAGTGAATGTGAGTCTTTGATGTGTGTGCCACCTTCAAGAGAAAAAAACAAGAAGCCATTTAATGAGTTTAACCCACAGCTTTGAGAATTAATCTATGTGTACATATCTATTCGCTGGCATATATTGTAAGTTAAAAAAAATCACTCAGGGCCTCTCAGTATATAAAAATAAAGGAGAACAGTCCATTTCATATGGAAAGGATGCCATGAAAAGGGTATATCTGAATTTAGTTTGGTTGTTTTCCTCAGACCATAAATCATTTAATGTAATCAATTATAATATTCAGTTTTGTCAGAAATAGTAGATATTACATCATTTAAAGACAGGCATGCAAGAATAAAAGATCAGTAAATATGATATTAGTATTCACTGAAAAGAGGCAATGTACACTGCAACTCATTACAAGTGTATTATTCAAACCTGTTTGTTCTTTTACTCGAACCATATGTTCAACATAGCGGTTGTGAACCCATTTCTAAATGTGCCACAGTGCACACTATCCTACCTAATTCACTCCCAAATCTACTTCAGAGGTGTTTGCATGACTAAAAAAAAAAAAAAGAAAAAAGAGTACAAGTGTGTTATAGTGGAGGTTATCTCAAAATCTGGTGGGGACCTATTTAATGGTGCACAATATGCATGCTTGTCGACCAGATCCCAGATTTTTAGCTCTAGTTGGCTTGGGGTTCTGGGGGTTTGGATCTTAACGCTCAGCTGATAACTGCCATGCATTGTACTGCACACATTTGTAATAGAACTGAATGACTACAAGATTTTATTGCGCTACCTTCATTTTATAGGGGGAAAAAAAACTGGTCTTGAATCCAGAAATTCTTACATACATTGTGTTACTGTTATTGCCCTATTGACTGAAGATTACATGCTCTGAAACTACTGTAGTTTATCAAAAGCCATAGTGAAAAGGTGCTAGATGTTCTGCTTTTAGGTATGAAAACTCACTTGCGTGAATGCAATAGTTTGTCATGGTACCCATGTATTCTTAAAGCATGTTATACTAATACCCCTAAACAACATCAGTGAACAACAATATAGTTTAAGGGATTTTTAAAAAATAAAAGTGTTGTCATACTTATTTCAGTGTAGTACTATACCAGCCTATCAGGCTCTTGCTCTCAGTGTATCAATATCTTAAAATGTATTGTTCACATATAGATACCTTAATTCATGTTAATGTTAGCACTATTATTTTAAATGTTTAATTGACAATATCCAGCTATCCAAATAAATAAAAAGAGAACCTCCCATTAAGGCCTAGGTAATGAAGTAATTTTTAATGACAACTGAGAATAGAGTCTTGTAGTCTTTCTGTTAAGAGTTAATGAATAATCTCACAGCTTGTGTGGTGCAAAAATGTGTTCCAATAAGCAGCTAAAATTTATTTAGGATTTGTGATTGATTGCTCCGTAGATACCATTTGTTTACCAATTACTTTTGCTGTGGTGGGATAGTGGTTTACTGTTCTTACTCTCCCTGGCCTCTAGGGGTCCTTGCCTGAACACCAGACTACCCACCCGCCAACAGAGCCAGGGGCATGTGTTCTGTGTTAGGCAGATATTTTGCTTTGGTACTTGCACATTTACAGTTACCTCATTTTTTTCCATGTTTGTATTGGGGGGTGGGGGGGAAAAAACAACTAATATATTATATATAGGAAATGGTTCTTATTAATGTTATAATTTTTCATTCCATTGGAATTATATTGTTTGTAGCATTTAACATAACTAGTTAGTGTATTATATATACATCTGTATACTGTTTGAAATTTTTAAGATTTGTACTTTTTTTAAATGAAAGTTGCTAGTTATGCTTTACCAAGTAGTGCAATCATATTTTTTTTTTTTTTTTTTATTGTGGCTGATTTGAAAGGGTTGTTCACTAATAAATGTATGATGTATACCAATACCACACTGGTCTTATTTGTCTTAAGCTATAAAATACAGTACTAAAAATAACTGATGCTCATGTCTGTGTTCTTTGTGTTCTTCTAGCGAAAATAGTACACTCAACTGTCTAAAATATTATGCTCATCAAAATTACACACAAAAGGCTGTTTGTGATGCACCAGTACCACAAGCACGTTTCGTACATTCTCAATAAACCGACATTTTTAAAATGTTTTTAATTTATAGTTGGAAAATTACATCTTTACATGGGCCCATTTAGATGTTACAGGCAAAACAGGCATCTATGAGTAACCACAGGCACACTATGGGCAGACTTTCACTATACTAATAAAGCCACATGTAAAAGCTGTGGCCTCTGTTAAATATTGTATTTTTAAACTTCATGAGCTTGAGGCAGCCTGCTTTACATAGTAACCAACCTGCATTTGGTCATTTTATGACAGATGAGTCAAAAGACAAAAAATGTAAGGTAAATTCGGGGTTTTTAAATATCTAACTTATGTACAGGTCATGGCTCATTTAAAACAGGGTTCCCATAATTCCTTCATGTCCAAATCCATCAGCCTGCTCCCTGAAGTGGTACATTTGCTCTCCATGCCACATAGAACAATCACACTGGTACTGACCCAACTTAGACCAGTGCTGTGCTTGTCAGTCACTGTGGAGGAAGCATGTTTAACTTCCAGGCAAAAAGGATGTTGAATTAGGACACGCGGATCAAACACGTCAAGACAAAAAGAATAGCCAAGGCTTTCACACCATTATAAAAATCTACCACTTTCCATGCTGCATCCTGTGTATCAGTAAGTATTAATACAACCTGCTCAGTTGCACAGCCATGAATTAATTTCGGATATGGTTCTGGTTTTGCACAAAGCTATGCTACTGTTTCGGTATATTTCAGTAGCAGTAACAATTACTGGTGAGGAAGGACAAGAATGAACTAGTAGCTAGTACACACAATGGAAAAACAAACTTCTTTATCCACACGGATACAAAGATGAGTTCAAGGAAGGACATTTATTCAATAAAATTCAAGACTTTCCAGGCTATTGGGAACCCCGTAACATAACCAAACAAAGGACTGGATGCAGGGTGGTTAAATTTTTCCAGGTTAGGATTTAATCTCAATGATCCCTTGTGCATAATGGCCATTCAAAAAAAGAAGAAAAAGAAAAAGGAGTGGGTGGGCATTGGAGGAAAATGCGTTTTCCATGTAGAGGAGGTATGTCATCTATTAATCGTCCGTAAGGTCCTGAACAAAAAGGACCTCGGAGCGGCTGAGCCCCGCCTCTTTCAGTGTCGGAGGGTTGGGTTGCTCTTCAGTCGGAAGGCAGGGCAAGACTCGGCGAGGGAAGTTTGTAATTATCTGAAACTTCTCTGGGGATTCTTTCAAAGAGAAAAGGAAGTCGTATATTACCTGTGAAAGAAGAAAAAGTGTCAAGTGAATTGGCAAGCGTTAGTGCTCTGCAGACATGAAGAAATGCTTTATAATAATGCAAGATCTGAATGCGTTTTAAAGCAATTTATTCTTTATAGTATCTGAAAAATAAACAAGTGTTAATATGTGGACCATGTCTATTAGATGAACCAACTTCTAATTAGGGGCAGCTGGAGGAGCCTACAGACACTGCACATGGTTTGACACTAGTGGATTAAAAGTAGGGCTGAACAATTTTGAAAAAATATAACTGCGGTTATTTTGACTGATATTGCAAATTTCCATTTGATTTGCGATACTAGGGGGAATGATCATTTTTATACAATTTTCATTAAATAAAAACCCATCAAAAATTAATTATGGTGTTTTTTTTTGCAGGGATCTGTACCAAACAAAGAACCAAGTTTCTAGAATGTGAGGACATCACTGCAGCATGACAATTTAATTTAAAATGGTATTTTGACACGCATTATCCCCTTTAACAAATATTGCGCCTCCTGCGATTTGAACATTGCAGTAGGCCACATTGTAGGGATGCGACGTCGCAAAGCATGGTTCAAAAGGTCACGTGAAAACTGATGCTTTCTACCCCAGCTGTGAGACAGAGAGACTCATTCAGAATGCAACTGCTAATGCCACTGAAGAGGTTAAACAAAATTGACAGATGCTTTTGTTCAAAGAACAGATCCTTGATTAATTGGCAGGAGTGACGTGCTGTATACCCGCTCCGGTAGGCCTATACGATGAAACTGACTCGCCCCAGCCCTAAAGAATATTAGTAGTTCTGCTGTTTTAGGACTGGGGCGATTCGTCGACGTAATCGACTACCTAAATACGTCGACTTGCATTACGTGCGTCCAAGGGTGGCTGCATCCGGTGTTAGCTGGGATTCCCCTGGACAAGCTTCAATTATAAACACCACGCTTTCAGCCGTCTCAAGTTTGGGAGAAATTCAGACAGACAGACGTGAGCTCTGTGAATGGAAAGGGCTTCACTGCAGCACAACTGCTGTCCACGAATACCTGAAGCACCACTGAACATGTGAAGCGAAAGTATCCTGGAGCACTGACGGCAGCACCGCAAATCGTGTTTACTTTCTGTCTCCACACAAGCACAGCACATTATCAGCACGAGGACACATAGTCCATTAAGATGTATTTCCTAAGTATTTATTCAACACCTTCATGTTAAAAGTAATTTCTGCCCCGCTGCTGTCATGGTATCGTAACGTTGCACTGTGTGTCATCTAACATTTGGCCGTTTCATATTTTCTGTTTATTTAACGGCCAAGTATGAGCAAGAACAGACGATGAAACGATACAGACGATCTGTGACCATCTGTACAGTCTGTTTCAGTTGTTTTCTTTTCCCCACACTGATGCAGAAATACATTTGATCATCATACTGCATTACTCAATACCGAAATAAATCCATGTCAGAAACATTACAAGTTTTAAGTACACATTGTCAAACAACTGAAATACACTGGATAAGATAAATCCCCCAGGGTCAAGCAAATGAGTACACAGGGTCTTAATAAGGAGGGATACTCACAGTCAGAGACTGCCCAAAGAGGAATCGTCTCTCTACTCGTGTATCATTGGGCAGCTTAAACACTATTTTGACACTTTCTGGATCGTCTGCAGGTGGCTCTGGGGGAAGACATTCTGACTTCCTCTCCTTCTCCTCTTCGAGTGTCTGGAGTCACACAACAAAAATTGACAACATGAATTAGAAAAGAAAGAATTCTACATCTGAATTATCTGTTAAGGTCTGCACGTGTATCTGGAATGCAAAATTAGACTCACTCGTCGTCTCCGCTCCTCAGCAAGAGCACTTTGTCGGACCTTTTCCTCCGCTTGCCTGAGCTGCTCCTCCTCCTCTCTTTTCTTTCGGTCTTTCTCCTGGTCAGCAAGGAGGGAGGCCAGGTAGGCCTCATCCTGCTGCTGCCTGAGCACTTGGGTCTGATTCCTCTCCTCCCTGAAACAAACATTGGTCCGTACTTAAAACTATGAAACTTTTCTGGTATACGAGCAGAGTGTGGCATTAAACAGGGAAAGATTTACTGTCCTTTCTACTTAAGCCAAGGAATGTTTACACGCACGATTTTTTGGAAGGGCTGTTTTTATATCTGTAATCCATGTGATCATTGTATCATAAAAATGATCACATGGAGGATTTGATTCATAACTGAGATACTAGTCTGCACAAAAGATAAAACAACATAAAGTATACGTTTGTTTAAAATGTCACATCTTACATGTTTTATTATTTTTGGGACAGTAACCATGAGACGGACTCAATTCTAATCTCAACAATCCCCCCATGCAACTCCCAGGCTTCGCCAAGATAAATGGAGATTAGATGTGTCACGCCAAGCAATCTTGTGTTTTCATTGATTTCCAGTACCGTTCAAGGCGCTCTGACATCAGATGCGTTTGGTTGGCATCCATGATGAAGGTGAGCTGATTGATGAGGTCCTCCGGCTGAATGAGACCCTCGAGCCTGCCCACCACTGTCATCTTGCGGTCCTTCAGCATTATCATGGCCAGGAATGGGTAGGTGTTCTCCCGCAATGCTTGGGACACTGAAACATACACCCACACTTATAAAGTCAAAACTCACTATTTCAAACAGTGCGGCTGCTATACAATTGCTTTATTTAATTGGATAGTCAGCCACGTACACACACACACACAAAAAGAAAAATGACATATCCTACTTAGACCCTTTTAGACCAACTAGCATGCAAATAGTTTCTCTTATGTGCAAACGTTTGAGTTCTCTGAGGCTTCACCACAACACAATAGAGATGAAAGAAATTGCAGCAAGTCAAAATGCAAGTCTTTCCGGTAGGGCGGATCCCAAATAGTCGACGATTCGAGGCTTTGATGGGCGGAGCCTGACTCAACTGTCAATCTCACAGTCGAAGCTTCGCAGTGAAACAAGGATCATGATATTTTGGCGATATGGGGGTGCAACAACTACCAGTTTTCTCCCAATAAGTTAATATACTGCCTATTAAAATATAAATGTCAACATATAATGCTGTAAATAAAAATGTGAAAAGAAAAACGCTTTAAATAAATGTTTTTATAGTGAGTGAATAAATCCAAAATTGTAACCCTAATTCTTAAGGAAGTGGGCGACAGTGCTCATTAGTGCATTTGTGAGGTCAGACACAGATGTTGGACAAGAGGGCCTGGCTCGCAATCTCTGTTCTACTTCAACCCAAAGGTGTTCTATAGTGTTAGTCAGGGCTCTGTGCAGGCAAGTCAAGTTCTTCCACACCAAACTGGGAAAACCATTTCTTTATGGAGCTGGCTTTGTGCGAGGGGGCATTGTCATATTGAAACAGTAAAAGGTCAAACACCAACTTTTGGAAGAACTGTATGAATCTAAAACTGTATGCTGTAGCATTAAGCTTTACCGTAATAAAGAGCACACCATGAAAAACAGCCCCTCCCAAAAGTATTGGGACATGGGTGTCCTGGACTTCTGTCCATATAGTTTATCTTTCAAGTTCTTTGTATTAGGGTGGTGACAGAACTCAAAACCTGGGAATATAAACACAATAAAGGACAATCAGCTCTTCAACTTCGTTATTTTGCCTTCCATTAGGTTAAAGTAAAAAGGGTCACTTGATCCACTTTCAAATCCTGCAGTTTGAGTTTGTCTCGTATCGCTTTCATAAAGGATTATAGCCATATGAAGCGTGCCTACATGTGTGACTGATTCTTGACAGATATTTTCCATTATCCGAGCAACCCATTTTACATCAACAGCTGATTGACAACAAGTGGTGGGTTCCATTAAATCTGCATACCTCTGTAGCCCTCGGGCTTGCTGGTTGAGCAGGCCCAAAAGAGCGTTTGCGTGTTGAGGAAGGTTACGACCTCTTCTGTACATAACGTGGAGCTAGGAAGAGACAGATCAGTTGCACAAAATAAACCATTTGACAAGGAACACCCATTTCATGTGCACATGGATATAAAAACAAACGCTATATAAATATGTGCCTTCATCACATGTGCCAAAGACCAACCAGACTGCGCTTTGAGTAAAAACAAACTGTATGGCATTGGGCAACAACAGGGTATATGTAACAAATTCTGATGGATGAGACCCAGGTGATTTCAGTAAAAAAGGTGAGAAATACTATACCGGCAAAACTCGTCAGTGTCTTGGTGATCCTCCCCATGAAGGTACACTAATAAGTAGCGGAGCTCCCGTTTTGCATCATTCAGTGCCTACATGTTTCAGGGTGAATACATATTGCACATATAACATATTCTTTGTCCACAACATGAAATTGACTCAGAGCATAAAAAAAAAATGTACCCCGGAACTCACCTGGCTGTATGTTCCCTGGTAAAATACAGGGTGTGAACGACCATACTTCTCCTCAAAACTATGAATGAAGGACACAACATCTCCAACAGGGTCTGTCACGCGCCCACGGGGATCTGGCCTGATGAACCGCAGGGCAAACCTTGAAGCAAAAGACATTTTGGTGATCAATGACCTTCCTGCAGCTACACATTTACGTTTCAGCAGCCACATGTTTAAATCAATGTGCTTGAATTACCTGAATATATCCAGAAGTGTGTAATATGTAAATCTGAAAGGTAGCATTATCAAGTAGTAACTCCATCCTAGTAATCCCTGAAAAGAACCAAAGCATATGATTACCATTCAAACAGTACAAAATAGGTATGAAAGAAAACTCGATGAGCCATAAAAATGTAATTAAAAATTAAGGAATCACTTAGGAAAATAAAAAAAACCCACTTAGATTGACCATTCCGTCGAGGATTGACTTAATATATCTATCTATACATATAGTAACCTTATTTATTACGTCAGAAGTGAGACTATTAACAGAAATATATAATGACAATTCCCGCTAGAGTGTATCCACATGTCAAGCATGAGTAATAGTTTAACAGAATATTGTAAAAGACATCCAGGACCTTATGAGTGTGGTAAAATTTCTATCAGCTATGCAGATGTTTCACCCCAAAGCACAAACAATAAAACAAGCTGCAGACCTACCCTGGGTTGTGGCCTTGAGACGATGTAACTATATACTCTATGGTCTGCTGTGTTGACCTGCAATGGTCTGGGTGGTGGAGGGTTAAACACGCTGGGCACTCCTTCCTGCTCATTAAGTCTGTCTTGTACTGCAGCCTGAAACACATACATTTAAGCATAATCATACTTCAATCAATAAACCAAAAGAAAGGAAGGACAGATGAATGACAAACGGTAGCAGGGCTCACAGAATATGTATGGGAAGAAAAATGTAGACAGATCCATGGGAATAGTAAATGTTACTTTACCTCTATGTTCCAATTATGCTGCTCTAATGTTCGACGGCACTGGTCCATTGATTCCAAGCCAGTAAGGTCCTGTTGGATATGAAACGAAAGTCACACTGAAGGCCTGGAGTTGCCCATTAATTAAACCACAGTCGTAACATTAACGTTGTGTAGTCAGGGCTTCCTTCTGTAACTTTAGCTTACAAGCTAGTGGTACGATGTGTCAAGTTATTCATAAAATAGTTGGCAAGAATCACACAAACTAAGTTGGCTCAGGTGTCAGACAGGCAGAATTAAATGATTAAAGTAGCCGACTAACTAGCATTTTGTTAAAGAGCTCTAAACTCGAAATCAACGTCAACGTGCACAGAGAAATAACGTTACCCCAAGCAGGATGACGTTAAAGGTAAGCTAGCTCTCCAGAAGACCCTGTGATTTTAACGGCTAGTGTAACGTTACCAACTGCAGACTAAGAAAGGAATAAGAGATTATAAGTTAAAAAGGGAAAGGAAAACAGAATCACTTTTGTTGAAATTAAGATCAATCATTTCATTTAGTGTAGCTAAAATAGTTCTGTCGCTGAGAAACTTCAGTGACAGCTCGATGCTGACTGCTAATGTTAACTCAACTAAACTTACCGTTTAGTGGGGAGCGTCAGTGGAAACGTTAGCCAAGTTAACGTAAAGTGAAAACAGACACTAAAACGCAGCAGAGTGATGTTGATGAACAAAGCTGGATTTGGTGTATGTATGTGACTTGCATATACCAAACGGTAAGCTATTAAACCCCACCATGGCCCTTAAAGTCTGCTAACTTGTTAGCTAGCTTAGCTAATGTTAGCTAGCTTTGCTAACGTTGGCTCTGCCTCAAGTTGACGGCTAACGTTGGGGAGCTGGGGGCTAACGTTATCGAAGTTGACTGTGCAAAAAGCGTTTAAACACGCGTAGTTCCGTCTATTTACAGCGATTCATTATCAACGATCACGTATTACACTGTGAAGTGTAAATGGACACGTGTTAATGTCAAATTTAAGGAGTCTACCTGAAATTGGAGGAGTTTTTCGGTCTGCGCCTGAGATAATTCTGGCTCATCTGGCGCCGCCATTTTCTTACCTCGCCAATCATCTAGCAAGGCGTAACAACGTCAACTGTCTTTTCCTGATGCTGGCCCTGCTGCTACGACCTCTGCGGGCTACTGCCGCCTAGCTCTCTGGATGACAGCAGGAGAGTCACCACACCGGTCTGACTTCTAAAATAACTATGGACCACAACACCAAAGATCTACCTAATTTACTGTATTACTTGCATGGATCGGCCTTCATCTGTAACGGTTAAGAATTGATTGATGCAGAATAGTCTGTATCTTATCTGGGGATATTTGTATGAACCACACACCTTCTATTTGTTTAGTCTGACATGTCCAATCACAAATAATATTCCCCTACTGGCTAGCAATACTATAATTAAAATACTTAACTACTTGATATTTAACTTACTAAGTAATAGTGCTGAAAAGAAGATGATTAATCAGTCAATCTAGACAAAAACATGACTATTTAAAAAAAAAAAAAGACATTGCTTCTTTTCTTTTTTTTTAAGTGATAGTGAACCGTTCATCAGACAAAACAAGAAACTGATTAATTGCAACTGGGCTTTAACGAAATGCATTTCCACTATTTTTTGGCACTCATACATCAAACATTTAACTTTTTAACTGAATGATTAATTGATAATGAAAAGTGACAACTCTATTCAGTAATCTAATTTTATTTCAATCAATCACGTTTGTCTCATGTAATCATTTAAAGTACGATCACAGTGAAATGTAAACTTCAAAACTTAATCTGTAATAGTTACTTTATTTGGTAAATCTCAGTTTTGTTTCATGTCATACTTACCAACTATAACTGAAGATTTGTGCATTTTTTGAGGCTTCGAAACGTGTGTCGAGTAATGCAGGATGATTTTTGTGAAGCGCGTATCGAGGCTTGTGTTGATGACGTATGCGGTGACGTTCGAAGCCTCGCGAGTCGGCCGTATGACCGATTCAGGAGATGGTTTGCGGGTTTGGCGTGCGATTTGAAAGGAGCAGCAAAATGCAATTGACCACCCTCCTCAACATTTTGTGGACTTTTGAACTTGAAATTGAACACAATTCGATTTTATCTACAGCTCATTTTAAATGACTAAAAAAGTTTATCAACTTATGTCAGAATTGCTTTGATCAAATAACTTCAAAAATTGTGATGAAACAGAGGAAAAGAAACTGTTGACATTTATTTTACATTTTGTGGCTTTGGTAAGAATTAAACTCTTACCCCATATTGCCCATATAATAATTTTCTAAAGCAGTTAAAATCATCTCCAAAAAAGAAACCGCCTGAAGCCCGGCACTGTGGAAGTGTTCTTTTTAAATAAAGATGAAAAAAATGTTGTCTCTATTATCTAAAGTCACAAACCAAGTTATCATAACCCTCTCTCTTGTTTCCAACTTTCCTTTTGACCCTGTCATTGTATCATAAAGACAGACACCCTATTAAAAAAGCTAATCAGTCATGTATTGGCATCACAAACATCATTCATTAATTTTTTCAATTCAAAGCTTCACACACCCTTATAATCACTCTGCCCGTTTTACATTTATTGTCCACTTGATGGCACAGTAGAGCAAATGAAGCACCGTGAAGCTTCGGCCCATGAGTGAACCAATTGGATAGAAAGCTTCAATGCTTCATGAAGTTTGATCTCACCATCACTACTGACAGCTAACTGTAATATATCCCCAGAATATCAGAAACAGTAACTTAAAACCTTATTACCTGATATTCACACAACAGAGTTTTGGGTTAGCCAACAGAAATATGAGTTACATTTCTGAAATGAAAAAAAAAAACAAGATCACGTAATGCATGTAACGCCTCTCTTTCTGAAAGTAGTTTTGGAGTAAGGCTAACTTTTTTCATCCACCACATCTAGCTCTGTGAAACACAAATAAACCTTACACATTTTGTACCATTTGAGTGAAAATTAATTTATTTGGCTATTTGTGGTTCAATTTCCACAAATCTTACCAAGGTGAAAAAGAAAATCCATTATTTGAATGTAAAGTTTTTAAGAATGTCCCCTCAGGTTGAATTGTCAGTAAGGTAGTGTATGCATAACACAGACAAAGCTGACTCAATTTTTCCAGAAAACATTCGTTGAAACACAGAGCAACCATTGCATTGAAGCACGGATCAGGAAATAATCAGAGCCACAATATAGCACACTGTAGAATCTGTGTCCTGATTTCAAGAGTTGAGCTGTCCCACGTCACTTTTTCCCCTCTACCATAATTATGTGGTACCCAAACTTTGTCTTGACAGGAGGGTCCGTGTAGACAGGTTTATCCATGGAACTGACAGGTAGGGCAAATGCTGCATCCTGGAAAGGTCCAACCATTGATCCTCGCGTCATCCACCCCAGATCACCCTGTCAGGAAAACAACAGTCAAGAATAAAACACATAGCAGGACACAAGTGACTGAACATGAGCAAACAAAGGCAAAAGGGTTAACTGTACTGAAAACCGAAACTGTGATATTTTTAACTGTGAGCAATGCAGGACCTTGAAATACTTATTTGTTTGGCTTTGGGTGCCGGGCACAAATAAGGACGTAAGATAAAAGCTTTGTTGCGCACTAATGATTTCAACAACTAAAATATTTCCATGGTGTCCCTGAGTAACAGCCCAGTAGCTCCACTGAAATTTCCCAGTAGCTGAGAGTACACCGGTGTAGGTGTTCTGGTGGGGTGCAGGCATGAATAAGTAGGAGATGATGTACAGAGTTGTTGAAAATACAGACAATTTCTGAGTAATGGGAGTAAATCATTATTATTCATCAGTCCAGAATTCACCACCAATGAAGACTCATGATGTTCAAGTACATGATTTTCCATATTATTCACCACAGGTGATTAATACATGTGGCTACAGAGGTACAAACTTTGTTGTGTTCTCTGGATTCTTCCCAATTACATTTACTTTGCAACAAAGACCGTATCTAAGCTACATAACAATGCTCTGGTAATACTGATCCAGAAATAAATATGCACCAGGAAGCAGGTACAACTGCTAAACCAAAAAAAGACGAGTCAAGTCGAGTTGGTACTGTGCAGTGGAAAAGGGGCTTTGGTATCGAGAATCACTGGAATTTCACTGGCCTTGGTGGCCTACTAAATTACTGGTATTGTGACATCTCTAATTGTCACTTATCGGCTGGTATAAACACAGATACCGATTTATCTGCAATTAGCACCACAGGGATTTATCGGTTGGGCTCTTACTCCTTGTCTTGCTTTGTCTTCACTGTATTGTGAGGCTACTTCACTGAAACGGACTCCAGCCTTCAGTTTCTCCATTGCCTCCATGCATTTTCCATGTTTTTCACAGAGGATATGCCGAACCTGGGTGGAAAACACAGACCATAAATCCACAGTTAGACTTCCAGGAATAAACAATGGCTGGGATGCAAACTATAAATATTTAGAATTACTGTAGACACATATAAAGCATCCCATTAGCAGATCATGAACACAGGATATGATGAATACCACAAAGGCTCCCCAAATCCTTAATGCTAATCCAAAAATGATGTTTATGCAGCCATAATGTTCATTTCTGCAGACATAGACTGGAGATAAAAGAGGATGCTTGAAATATTTCCTGATAACAAACTGTGAATTAAACAAAATTAATATTTAACTTGTTCCCACAATTGTCGTTGAAATGTGATGCCTATCAACAACAGCTGATAAACACATCTAGTGACAAAGATAGATAATCATTACATTAAGTCATTTCAAAGGTAACAAGGGTTACAGCTATTTATACCTGTTTCAATGATTCATATCTAATAATAACTCTGCTGGTTCCAACTCAATCTCACATTCAGCTATCATTTCCTTTCAGCCTCGTCGTCCAAGAGTAGCTTTGTGGTAAGAGGGCACGGCGAGGGCAGTCGTTGCTTTGTAAAATTCCCCTGTTCTGTCACACTTGACTTTCGCAGTGCAGCTTTGGGTTAAATTCGTCTTACCTTCACAGCAGTGCCTCCCTTGGGTGCTTTTTCTTTTTTGTCAGCGTCTGCACTTCCCGAGGCTGCTCCTACAAAGCAACATGGTTCAGCATCACGACTACACCACTGAAAAACCGCAACATACAATAACACTGTGGCAAACAACAGACATGTTAAATCTAGAGAACTAGCTACATCATCACATGGAGGTCTTACAGTTGTATGCGTACTAGCTAATTTAGCAACTGTGTCTGACTTCAAGTTCATAACACACATGCATAATTAACAGTATATAACCACTAACCTTTACCACCCTTGCCACCTTTTCCCTTTGGTGGCATTTTAGATTAACGTTTAATGAAATTCAAGAAATAATGAAGAATAAAAAACCGTAATAGCATTCGTTCATGCTATGTTGTCAGGAACCTGCTTCTTCGTCTTTAGCTAGTTATTGGCAGATTGCAGCCAGTTGACGTCCATACCGCCGCCCAGTGTAACATATCAGAGCATGCAGTCTCAAGCGAGATAAAATACATACAATAGAGAACAGTATAGCCTATGTACCTTCATTTAAATATTTTTTTCAAAAGAAGGAAAACTTTTCTCATATAAAACTCACTTTTCTTTTTATTCCTGTTAGATTACAGTTTGTAATCCAGGGTCTATCTAGGTCTATAAGACTGTACACATTCTGGGCATTTACTTTAGTTGTCATTCAAGTGTATTTATTAATGGAGCGAAATGCACGTTAAGTTAAACAAAATGCTGTTTTGCATCTGTAGTGCCTGAACAGATGTTAAAAAGTCAAATTAAAGCTGTTATTGAAATAAGACATAACCATGCAGAACGATAATATGAAATTTGCCTAATGTCACAGAAATGCATCAAATAATATCATTATGCTATATTTGTCAGGTAGCCTATTTGATGCCAATATTGTTTTCAAATAAACACCCGAGGCAAGCACTTTCTGTGGATTTTATTCAATCATCTGCAGATGGACAATACACATAACGTTACGTGGTGTACATATGCTCGAATGACGGAGGAGAGCTGAGTGAGACTGTTATTTATCCAGCTTCAGGGTCAAAAACCTACATAGAATGGGAAGTAATAGAAAGGTAATGCTAGGGGGAAAGGCTAGCCTACAGGCTACAGGACAACATTATACTTCATCATTAAAGCACGCAAGAAGGGCACACGACAAATAGAGCGTAAAAACGTCTTGGAAAACAGGTGAAGCTGCTGATAAAACAAACTATTTAAGGATCCTCCTGTCCAGTATCACGGCGTGAGATGGTTACTATGACACCGAGACTGAACACAAACGCCCCCCTGACGCAATTTGACAGGTGTCTTGTGTTGAAGTGCTCCTTACCTCGACACCGTGTGTTTTTAAAAAATAAGACCTCTTTTTTGTGTCTGCTCCAGCCAAAACATGGACGAGTACGAGAAGGTTTTGTGTTTGGGCAGGGGAGGAACGGCAGACGTGTTCCTGATGAGGCACGTAGCGCGCAAGAGCCTGCACGCAGTGAAGAGGATCAAAGTAGAGGACACGAGGAAAGCAAAAACACAGAGGGCAATTCTGCAAGAGGCTGAAATCATTAGGAGACTGGAGCACCCTCATATAGTCAAATGCAGCAATGCCTTTGTGAACGCTGAAGACGGATTCATTTACATTGTGATGAGCTACTGTGATGGTGGAACCTTAGATGGCAAAGTTAAAGAGAGGAAACCAAAGGAGTTTTTCCCAGAGGATGCGGTGATGGGGTGGTTTGTACAGGTCGCCATGGCTGTAAATTACATACACGTGGCTAAAATACTTCACAGGGACATCAAAACCTCAAATGTACTTTTGACAAAGCAAGGCCTGGTGAAGTTAGGGGACTTTGGGATATCCAGAGTGATGACTTGCACAGCTGATATGGCCTCCACATGTGTTGGGACACCCAGCTACCTCAGTCCAGAGCTTTGCCAGGACGTCCCGTACAGCTCCAAGTGTGATATCTGGGCCCTTGGCTGTCTGCTGTATGAGATCTGTGCTCTCAGGCCTCCGTTTGCAGCCACAAACCTCCTGAGTCTGTTCTACAAGATCACCAAAGGAGAGTATGATCCTGTGGATAATGTCTACTCTGACAACATCTCCTCTTTGATCCAGAGGATGCTCCACCTCAACCCAGAAAGCAGGCCAAGCGCTGCCTGTATACTCAGCAGTACCTTTGTGCAAGATCACCTGGAATCTATCAAACACACAGAGGCTGTCTGTGTTCCTGCGACTGCATCAGACAATGACGCCACACTAGGGCCAGTTCTCCGTCAGTCCCAGTCACTGGAAGAGAAAAAACACAATACGGAGGCCTGTTCCAGTGATGTGGAGGAGGAGGACCATGATGAACTGCGTGTTGGAGGACAAAACCCCAGCGACTGCCTCTACCCTGAGGACTTTGACGAAGATGAGAGTTTGTCCTCTCTTGAGGAGCACAGTGGACACTCGGGGTCACCAATGATGAGTGATTCTGCTGAGCCTATTGGTAATGTAGAGGTGGAAATGTAAAGCTTAACAGTGATGGAAGAAGCATTCAGATCCTTTACTTTAAATAAATGTATTCAAACCACAGTGTAAAAATAAGTCCATTGTTCAAAATCCTACTTAAGTAAAAATATTATCAGCAAAATGTAGTACCTAAAGTAAAAGTACGTATTCTGCAGCCTAATCTGAGTGTTATATCGCTTATTAAATAAATTATTATTTCTAATGCATCAATACAACAAACTCCTGCTTCACACATTTGTAGTCATATTTAGGACTTTTCCCTAATCTTTGTCATTTTAATTGGATAATTTGACCTCTTTGGGTATCAAACAATTATTTAAATGAAACCACCTGAAAGGTTTAGAGGGGAAATGGCTCTTTGGTGGAACTTCTAACAACTCATATACAAAAAAGGTGCTTTTTGTAAGAGGCAACAAGCCAAATAAGTTGGGAAGTATTGGTTTAATCTTTAACAATGTGTTGTATTTCAAACGTGTATCCAAAGCTAACTGGTTCCTGGATTGAACTGTCTTCTCAGGGAACTGTCTGTGTTCTTAGCTTCAATCCTTGCATAAACTTTGTCTTTTGTACCTCGGTGGCAAATCACTTAGCACATTCTTTCTCTCTTACTTTCCAGAGGCGCCTGACGTCTCAGAACAAGTTGAGTATCCAGATGACTTTGAGGAAGCCGAGGTGGAAGACGAACATGAGGACGAAGCAGCCTTAGTTCACACTGCTGCCCAGGATGATGCCCCGGAGGAGGAGTTTCAGCTCTGTGATGCTGGAGGATTGACCGTCACCCTGAAAACACTGAAGGAAAAAGGCTAACAACGCCCTCACACCCTTAAAAAAACCGGGCCACAATATAGTGACCCTCACAGTCGGAACAGTGAAATATCTGTCATGTGCCTTGTTAAGTGTTTTTATGCAACTGCTGTAAAAAAAAAAAAAGGACATCAGGCCTTCTATATTTAAGACAGGCCTTGGTCAAAAACATCTGCTGCTGCAATTTGAGCTAGGCTGTTGCCTTCCTGTACATTTACTACACACCAAGAGACATCACATTGCTGTTTTAGTGTCAGAAGATGTTCAAACACTTGGTGGGGCTAGAGAGAATCAATGCAGTCCTGCTCAGTGTGTGCTGTTAGTTCAGTGACGTGAATATTTCTGAACGAGGTTCCCGATTAGCGTCTGCCTGCCTTAGCCTGAGTGATGGTAAAGATGACTATAGCATATATGACTGGATTATTTTATAATACACATAAAATTTCAAATCATGACTTGAAAAAACACCAGCAGGAGGTCCAAATGGTTAATTTGGATTCCCAACTAACACAAATTTCATAATCATGTATATGTCCTAATGTGTGTGTTATTATGCAGCATTTGAAATGAAAAAGGTTTTTGATTAGGGCTTATCTTTGCCTCAGAATGAGATAAAAGCGCAATTATTGCATGCAACTAGGCCTTCAAAGGATGTATGTGGGATATGCAGTTCGCCACAAAGATGTTATGGCAACTAAAATTAAGATAAAAACCAAGAGTAAGAAACAAATATTTTACCACTTCATTCAGGCCATTGAGCATTTTATAGATTGTTGCTGTTGCAACACAAAGTAAGTATTTCACACAATAGATTTTTACTTTTTTGTAATTGCTGCAACTACAAACCTACTACTGCAAAACATTAGTTTTGATCCCCTCAAATTCCATCTATCAGCAGTAATTTTCATTATTTCACTCTCACTGTCACTTTTGTATGTTGCACCATTCATGTCTGAGTGATATTTTATGACTAGAGATGTAATGGTGACTGGAACAAATAGTTCAGCAGGGAAAACTCAATTCAGCAAATATGTGAATGTTTCAAACATTTACTGCTTTGACTTTTTGCTAAAACACACACAATCACACCTGAAAGCTGGCCAGTACAATCTGATCTGTCGGCTACTGACCAGTTGCAGGTTGCTCATAGGCACCCCAAACAGCAACTGTTCAGTCATGAGCCTGTTTGTAAAGGATTGGCTGAGAGGGGGAAGGAGAACACGTAGGCCGAAGTAATCTTCACCCGGTGTATGTTTTATTTGTTGTTTACATCAGACAAACAAGCAGGTCAGGCTGGTTTTGGTGAGGTTTTGGTGTGAAAACCTATATCCAAAAAAACAAAACAAACTAAAATAAACTAAAAACTTTAGCTTTATCATCCATCAGTCAGAAAAGAGAAATCCATGGCTAGGCCCATTGGCTATTGGGCAGCTAGCAGCAACCTTCCATACCAAAGTTAGTCATAATCACATTTCATTGTAAAAACAACAAAACAACTCTCCTCAACATGGTTCCCTTCACTATGAAGCCCATGGGATGCTCTCACTTCCAGCGCTTGGCGTTAGGCTAAGTATTGTCTATAAATAAAACGAACCTGTTAACAGCACAGTTTGATCGCTACACTGCGACTGTCACGTTTACTGATCCTGATAAACTGCATGACTGTGCTCCAATCAGTAGTAACTGTCACCAGCTTCATCTAGCTATTTACCACACTGACAGTGAATATATAATATGTATCTTCTGTGTCTCAAATCTCAGTGTGAAAGCTTTGGTTGTCTGTTTAATTTTTACTGTTAAATTGAGTCTGGTATGTACTGACTAAAGCTACTTGTTGACTCACACTTACAAAATACCTTGAAAGTGTTTCATCATAGTAGTAGAGCTTCATTTTCAGTTTTAATAGTCTTATGTATGTGAACACAGTCAACGATAAATGAAATGGTTGGATGACAAACAGGTCAGCTCAGCAGTAACCAGCCATATAAGATAAAATAAGATATATAAAAAAAAGTTTTAATAAAAATGAAATGAGATGAATAACATATCACACTATATATAAATAATGTATGTGAAAATTTGTGTTTGGGTGTAAAAGTAAAAGTGACCAGTGTATACAGAGGTATTTGCACATTAGATATATTTCAGTCCTGGTACAATAGCAGGAGTCGTGGTCAGCTGGTCATTTTGCGGACAGCAGGTAAGAAGATGTGTGATGTGGAATATTTAAGTTAATGAGTTGAGAAGCATGATGGTACGTGATGCTGTGTCGTCTGCCTGACGGTAACATGGACAAGAGTCTGGTCCGTGGTGATGCCGAGTGCCTTAGGCAGGCACCACTGGTGAAAGTTATCCTGAATGGCCAGGAGTCTGTTACCAGTGATGTGCAGTGCCGCTTCACTGGGAACAGATTTAAGTTACAGAGATGTAACTCTGTATGTCTTTCCCAGCTACCCTCCGTTCTACTAGTACCAGAAACACAAAACTGTTTTATCTGAAAAGCTGAAACCTTTTCCTGTTGTTCTTGTTCAAAAGCTAATAGTAATCTATCACTGTATAGCCTATGTCACCATTCCGCCCTGTCTTGCTGTAACGTTTGTCTGTTTCTGTCTGTTCCCCCTGATTGGTTTCACCTGCCTGCTTGTTTGTGTGTTCTGCTTGATTACCCCATGGGTTTCACCTGTTCTGCCCCCCCCCCCTCATTTCTACTCTGTCCATGTTGGTCTTAAGTGGTGTATTGGTGGTGTTTGTCACAGCGATGTGTGCTTTAGTCTGCCTGCCTGTTCAGTTTTTTTTTGCCATATTCCTGGAATATTTAAATTCCTATTTTTTATTATCTGTCTATTTGGATGATTTTCTGATAGTGTACTTTGGCTTGACTGTCTGGATACCTCTTTTGTGGATTACCTTGGTTATGTTTGGACTGCCTCAAATAAAGTGGGCTTAAAATGTGTAAGTCATTCTTAATGTTTTGTTAAATAAACCCTGAATAATCATCAACAATGGTACACACTGATATGGTATGTTCTGATACAAAAAATAATATCTCAGCAGAGCATATGCTATACAGATTCGGCCACTATTGGCTCCTAAAATGACATCCTGCTGTATCACTTATATATTTAAAATTTAAACTCTCATATGCTCCTTTCATAAATAGTTTGTCCTTTTACAATGTTATCCTTAAAATGACCTTGTAGTAAGATTATCGTGAAAAAAAATGCAAGGCTTTAAAGCTCATTTGTTTCCCAAAAGTACTGTCTGAGGTTATGAGATTATCGCCTTGTCATAGTCAGCAAGTATAAACATCAGACAGGTAAGGTGTGAAGCAGACTTTACAGGAATCATGTTTTGCCATTAACGCATTTTTTTTGTTTGTGTTTTTTTTAAATTCAGTAATGGTGGAAACAAGTTCTGAATATGCAAAGCTCAAGGTTAAATGGTGTCTCAACGGAAATGTAAGATTTACATTTTATCAACACACGATCTCTCATGAGCTGACCAAAGTTTTCCCGCTTGTGTAGTCAGCAGTCTCAGGTTCACCCACTTATATTACATTTACTAGCAGTACAACATAGAGGCACCAGGCTGAGAGATCAAACACACATTAATTTTTCCATGAACCAATGCTACAGACACCATTGCAAACGTAACTTTCTTTTCCTTTGTGAATCTCCACCACACACAGGCGCAAACTAAGCGAAATGTTTCCCATATGAGAAACTATGTGCATCATTAGTGATCCGTTTATGGTGAATTCACTGGTCAGTGTTAACAAGCACAGTGCAAGCATTTGTTTGTCCACAATGGATCACTGAAGGGCCCAAGAGGTCAAGGGGCCCCAAGGTTTCAGTCAAAAATCCTTTTGCAAAACATCTTCACTTTGAAGATGTCACAGCAAAGAAGTCATCATGACATCTTCTTAAATTGTGTCTGCCTGGGGGTGTGTAATGTAGGTCTGGGGACCTTTAAGGCATCAGGCCCTAGGCGCCAATTTGCTCACAATTGATATAATGCTGATACTTTCGATTTATGAGCTCCAAACAGATCTGAGTGGACTGACAACCTTCTTATCAAACCTTGGTAACTCAACATCAATACCAAAGCAAACAGCGCTTACATGTACATATCTGAGTTAAGAGTAAGTTGTGGATGTTGGGAATTGTGACGGAAGACCAAAGGTCATAGGTTCTTTCTGCCATTTTTCTGTTACTGTGCAAAGATTCCCCTGTTGTGTGGTGAAGAAAAACTGATGTTCCCCTCAGTCCTTCTCACACTGACACCTGCTCACTCATCTGAATCTTGATCTGATGGTGTTAAAGACAACACTAACTTCCATGATGACAGCTGCAAAATGCTGCAACCGCATCCCCACTTTAGAGTCTGACTCATGAAGTTGCAGCCCCGCGAAGATCTAAAAACACACTACAGGTAACATTTATTTGAAATGCATTTAGGCGATTACTTATTATAATTTTAGAAATTGGGTAAAAAAAATTTATTAAGTCTCAAATAAACTTGTCAGAACTAATTTGGATTATTCACTCATAAAGAGCCAAACTGGTCAATTCACAGCACAGTTTGGAACTTCTATTTAATGAAACTGCACGTAGAGTACAACTAAGTGTAACTTCCAAAATTGCACAAGGACATTTTTATTTACTTTCTGCAGCTGGCAGCATTTGGATTTAAACTATTCCTTTAAAGTTTCAGTCACCCTTATGTCATTTGGTCTACTTTCAGGAACTGAATAACTTTAAACAATGAGCCAATCCTCTGGGTAAATCATGGACTTTTTCTTGTGGGCCTGGACCCAAATATGGGAAAACATTGTGATTTAGGAAATGAATTGTAGGAAGTTGTGTAAATCTGTCAAAGAATTTTTTTTAAAAAGAGCCTACAGCCATGCTAGCGGCTCTATGAGGCAGCACTTAAAGCAGTGCTTTGAGCTAAATGTTTTGTTTGGCAAAGTCCAGCTAAGGCTGATAGGGATGTCATTAGTTTTGTAAGAAAGCCAAAGGATTGGCCAAATAATTAAAAACAACTTGATAAGAAGTCAGGCAATCAACAAATTTTTTTACATTTTATTAATTTAGCTCACACTTTTATCCAAAGCAACTTATAATTGCTATATATGTCAGAGGTCACAAGCCTCTGGGGCAACTAGGGGTTATATGTCTTGCTCAGGGACACATTGGTGGATGTGTTAGAGTAGGGAGTTGAACCCGGGTCTCTCACATCAAAGGTATGTGTCTTATCCACAGCGGCATCACCTGAGGGGGACCAAATTTCATGACAATACATCTGACAGCTCACCATCTACATAGCCGTGTTGCTAGCATGGGAATAAAAAGGACTAAAGTACAACAGGCGGCACGGTGTTTGCATGTTCTCCCCGTGTCTGCGTGGGTTCTCTCTGGCTTGCTCCCACCATCCAAAGACATGCAGTCTAGGTTAATTGGCAACTCTAAATTGTCCTTAGGTGTGAGTGTGAGCGTGAGTGGTTGTTCGTCTATGTGTGGCCCTGCGATGGACTGGCGACCTGTCCAGGGTGTAACCCGCCTTGCGCCCGATGTCGCCCCCCGCAGTCGCCCCCCGCGACCCTGTATGCAGGATAAGCGGTTGACGATGGATGGATGGAAAATACAACAGGCATGTGCAACTCTGTGTATAAGTAATTTGAATAAACATAGAAAGGCGCAGATTGAATTTTACAACATACATTTTTATAAACTGGTATTCAAAATGTTGATTCTGGTAATTATATACCAAAAAGTACTGTCTGAGGTTTTCAGATTATCACCATGTCATAGTCAGCGAGTATGAACCGCAGACAGGTAAGGTGTGAATCAGAACTTACAGGAATCAGGTTTGCCATTAACACATTATTTCTGTTTGTTTTTTTTAAATCAGTAATGATGTAATCAAGTTAAGTTTTGACTATGCCGAGCTCAAGGTTAAATTGTTTCTCAAAAGAAATGGAAGACTTAATTTCATGGCAATACATCCGCCAGCTAGCCATCCGTACAGCCATGTCGCTAGCACGGCAATAAAAAGGACCAAAATATGACACGCATGTGCATATGTATAATTTGTATATATAAACATAAAAAGGCACACACTCTATAGAAAATTATATTGTACTCTCATTGTCCCATGGTTGTCATTTTTTTTATAAACTGGTTTTCAAAACGTTGATTCTGCTAATTATATCCCAGATATTGTGAATTTCAAGCTACACTCAATACTCAAACCAGAGCAGCAGGATAGCCAGAGGCAGGATACAGTATAGAAAAGGTTTGATTGCTACCTAATCCCTTCCAACCACACTTTTCCGACATCAAATTTGGGAGGATGCAACAATTTCTGCGCCTTTCTGAAAAACAACAATCCGACAAGCCCGCCCACTTCACACAGCGATTGGCCAAGTGTGCGAAGGTGAGAAAGTTAGCAGGGTTTGAAGTTATCTCTCTAGCCCTCCTTTTATTCATCACACAATTACTTTTTTTTTTGTCTGTACAAACCGGTGCAAACCGATGACCTTAAGGATAGACAGTGCGAATGTCTGCGTCACTATCTATATTTGAATGATTGTCACATCTCGCCTCTCTCTATGATGATGACACGCTTTTCACCTTGCTTTTGAGTGTGGCTATAAACACTTTTGCCTTCAGACATTACTGGAATTCACAAATAAGTTCACTTCGAGCATACCTCAGCCTTTATAGAAATACTGACCAATCTATTTTGGTGATTAATTTCACTAGGCATAACAAAAATCAAGTGCTCCAGTACTACTTGTGTTGTGACAATACATATACTGTATATAAAAATAATAATCACGATTATTTTTATCTATACTGAGATCACAATTATTTATCACGATTATTCATTGATTTTAGGGACAACATGTTTTATTGCACTTTCAAAAAAAATATATTTTCACATCCATGATGTGCTGCATTTCTGCTAATGTACAAATCTTTGCATCAAAAAAAGACTGGTCCTTAAAGTGCATAATCTTCTTTTCTCTATGCCGTTCTGTGTCTAACTTCCTGCCCAGTTTGATAGGCTCTGTGCAACTTGACAAGGCTTCCGTCAGATCTGCATCTGGCACTCTTCTGGGAAGTGCTGCGCCTGATGGTCTCCCAAGCATTGACTAGAAGACTCTGGCAGCCGTGGAGCAACGGAAACATGCGGACTCGTGGACTTTGCTATCAACTCATGTGGGAAGCTAAAATCGTAATCGCGATCAATATTCGATTTATTGTGCAGCCCTACATATATTATACATATTGCGGTTCCATTATCTCATTTCCACCACTACGATTATCATGATGTTGATCTGATTATGCACAAGATATGCAAATATATATAATACTTCCATTATCATGTTTATGAACACCAGACATGTTTACATGAAGTGTGCATGCTGCACATTTAAAATAATCAACTAAGCTTATTAAATATATTCACATTAATAACACTTAGCAGACACTGAACATGTTTCGTAGGAGTTCCCAGTAAAACTGTACCTTTAAGTGATCTCTGACCGCAGATCGGGGATCTCCCTGCACATCTCCCCGCACATCTCTCTCCCCCACCCACTTTATAACAAATATGTTAAGATAAAGAAGTAAATATCACTGGAATACAGGAATGAGTCATCAGTGTAACTAATCAACTGGACATGATGAAACTAAAACAAAAATAATTTATAACTTAAATATTTGCTGACCACAGAAACTGTGGTGTAATGGCATTTTCTGTGGGGGTGGAGAGACGGGATTGCCCATCTCAGTTTCTTTCACTCTTCAAGAACGTAGTCTATTTCCTTCTACTTGTGGTGTATTTTGCTCTCGACCAATTTTCCTCTAGTCAAAGATGCACCAGCTCACCCAAACTTACCAACAGTTGCAGTAGTGCACACTTGTTACTGTGTAGATGTTATCTGTAAGATGTGGCCCCTTCATAATATTAGACCTCACACTATTGACCTAATTGGATGACCTCCAGCACTGACTACAGACTGAGAGAGGAAGTTTGGAATATGGCAAAATTTCAAGATCATAATGAGGTCAGTGACCAGTTGACGTCAGCAGAAAGAGAGCATTAAAATTAAAATGACAGCAAACAGATCTGTAGGCGAAACGTGTAACTGGAGACTCCAGTTCACAAAAAAAAGAGTGCTAGAGTGCTACCTCTCACTGAATATTTATAGATAAACTGTCACCTCTTGACCACGTGCAACAAACTGGAGGGGTGCTGTGAAGCTGATAATGTTCCGTTTTTCTGTTTGAAATGTTGCACATTGTCCAGTCCAGGACAAAATGATAGAAATGTCCCTAAGTATAATACAATAAAGGTAACTGTGTTAAATTGTGTTTAATATATTCACAGGAAATGTACTGTACCATACAATAACTATATAAACAGCAAAACCTGACATTAAAACATTAATAATAGAATATTGAAGGGCCTCTTCTATTTCCTATTGTATACACAGTTCCTAAATATTGTGCTTTCGTTATGTTTAGACAAGCAAAGATTACTTAAGGTAGTCCTTATATGTAGAGTCCGGTTATCTAATCAAGATAATCTTCTAAAAGAACACAGTGAAACAAGATTGTTGGCATTGATTTGTAACAGAGGTATTAAAATTACTTTTCTTCTTCTAGTGGAAGATAGTTAGTGGCGGTTTGTTAATCTTTTGCATTAAGATCAGAGAATTTTCTAAAAAGATGTTTTAATTGGCATAATTTGTGCTTACTATTACATTGCAGAAAAAGATAATTAGTCAGTTAAGCTGACGTGATCATCGCCTTTCCAGGTGTAGGTGTGGGTGACATCACTGACTTCCTTTTCTTCACTGACTTAAAAGAATGGGCACATCACATCAGTGATCACACTCAAGACAACTTAGAGAAGCTGTTGAGGAAGCGAGAGAGAGTCAACGTTGCAGTATGATGAAGTGTGTGTTTGCCCTTGTTGTCCTGTGGCATCTCTGCTACAGTACTAAGTCATTGAACATGACATTGAACAAGGAGATGATAGACAGACTGGAGATACTCAACAAACTCTACAAAGGAAATAAAGTCAATATCAGCTCTGTAAGTATAATGCATTGATATTATCACACTTTATTCAATTGCAGCATACAACGGCTTTGCCATTACGTATCTGTTGTCAAATACTTCACTCTTAGTGACTGTTAAAATATATGATTAATACATTAATAAAATAAATGCTCTCTCCCCATAGCCATATTGGTATGTGCCAAAAATGCAGCAACATTCAGTAAGTATTATTCTTTTCACTTTTCACCATCTGCACTCTGCATGGTCTTGAACAAGCCTCGTCTGTGGGGAGGCTCACAGTCTCAGACTTTGAAAATCCCCTGGTCAAGAACAAGCTTTGTTGCTCGTAAGCTAAGTTTATGATTACATGCATTTTATTTGCAATAGCCTGACTAGGCAATGTCATTTTTCCATGGCAGTCTTCCTGTGTGGGTGTCATTATCACGAAGCTGGAGCACCTTCTTGACAATGTGACTGTACATAAAGACAACGAGAATATTCTCCCAGAACTTAAGGCCAACATGCAGGAACTTAAGGCCAACATGCCGGAATTTAAGGCCAACCTGACGGCTCCAAAGGAGGTTAGCAAACTAAAACATGACTGCGTGATTTCTTGACAGAAACTGAGTTCTTACTTTTTACTTGCTACATAAGTAGTAGCTTTCACGAAGAGACATAATAATGAACCCTCTCTGTTCCTCTTTCAGAATCACAACTGCTCAATGTTGAAGGTGACTCACCAAAAATCAACTTTTAAGCAGTACGCTAATTTCCTCAAGAAGCTGAACATGTCACTGGATTGATGAAGATTCTAGCCTGTTTTCTTGTTTTATGCAGCGCTACATCAAGTTAATTTCAGTTAATGTTTCCACAAAAACAAAGTTACAGATGTGACCAGTGAAAGTACTAAATATTTATTTTTACACAGTTTACCAATTTAGAATGTTTCATTTATCTATTTATGTGTATGTGTGTGTGTTATTTATGTTTATTTATTTTACAATCTATTTATTATTTATTTATATGCAGACATTGATGTATTCATACCTCTGGAAGGCACAAATCAATATTCACCATGTGAATGCATATTATTTTAGTTCAGAAATATTGTGCTGCTGTTGCCAAATAAATCAACTACTTTCCTAATTTGTTCTCACTGAGTTTTTGTAAATCCTGCTATGTTTAAGAGACAGTGTTACACTATTTATATGCCAAAAGATAAAAACATAATAGAAGAGAAAATGTAACAGGCAGAGTAAGAGAGAGCTTAAGTGAATCAGTGTTTCTTATCTACACATGGACTCATACGAACCTGCACAGATGTGCACAAATAATAATTATCCAGGGCTGGCTATTCACACATGCACTCACACACAAAAAGCACAATGAGAGGGCTGAGGTTTTGTGTTCCTAAAACAGCCTGTATTGCTCTCAGCTGTCTTACTCATAGCATTTCTGTGTTTTGCAAGTGGCTGGGTATCTCTCGTCACACATCAGACTAAAAACTGTTTTGTCATGACTTGAACAGGAAATCTCAGAGAAAGTAAGACCGTATCAGCCCTAGTCACCATGAGCGCATGTGGTGATTGACCAATTATAAGAAAAGTGTGGTTTGCCTTATCTGTTCCTACACTTCTTCTAGTCTGACAATGAGCGTGTTAGGGTAACCATACAATATATGCAGCCTCTGTGCAGCACGAGAGCCTTTGAACTGCAATGGAGTTAGAGGAGCAGCAGCTGCACCTTTGAACACAGAAAAGTAGTAGAGCAGAGGGCAGGTGGAGAGAGACGCTCTGAAGTAGTGCCCACAATGCACCTTGGCTTCTCTGTCTACCCTAGTCTCAATTCCAACCGACCTTCGAACTCCCACTCCGGCCGGCTGCTGTGTCTTTGATTTCTTCCAAGCAAGGCAGCATTCAGCAGTTTAATCACAGAACATCCCTTTCTTATGTAACACATAAACCATAATTAAACAGAGGGAGAAAATGACACTGATATTTTACAAATTCACAAGTTTTTGGGCCAATTTTGGAGGGAAGTGTTAAGAAGAGCAATGACACTGATTAGCTGACATGTTAAACATGTGATTAAGTGATAGTTAACCACAAAATCTTGAATAGCCTATTTAACATCACTTCTTATAAAATATCCCCTATTATTATATTACAAATGTAGTGTTTACTGTCAGGGTACTGTTGTATACCTTGGATTAAGGACAGATTGAGAGATGGTAAAGGAAATAGCAAAAAGAAATTTATTTTGTGCAACATACAGTATGTATTTTCTTTTTTTCTCATTATATTCACTTATTTACAGTCTAATGCATAATGCGTCTTCTAGTGTGAGGGTTTGTGATGGAAAAGGGTAAAGGCTGTTTCTTTTCCTCCTGTCAGAAGTACTTACATCACTGTAAGGTGACAGCTGGCATGTCAGGATTGTTTCTGCATCCCACTATGCTCTTCGTGCAAGAGCCTGAACTGAATAAAACGACCATGGGTATGCTGGCAGATATTGCCAAGAGCTTTACAAGCAGCACACGATTTAGCAGACAGAAAAGATGACTGCGGCTGAAGGTGACATTGGTCTGCACATGAAAAGTCTGGCACAATGAGGAATGTGAGTTTCTGATCTAATCTTCTGTCTGGGCATAAACCTGTCTTTCATAAAATCTCGTTTTCATTCATTAAAATCCTGCACAGCAGTTGGGGGCGCAGGGAGGAGGTGTAATGTCCCTCCAGCTTGACAGCAATTGTTCTCATTCTCCATTAGGGGGCATCAGCGACCCACTGCCCCCGCATGTTTGGCCCTTGCCCTGATTCAGTTTTATAACATGCACCTTAATTTCATTAAGCTACAGTGCAGATTTAACTGGGTCAAATTAAGAGAAAGCTCTGCTGATAGCAGCTGGATTTAATAGGCACTGTGATGTTTTAAACCTCCAAACTCTGCTTAAGATGCCACTCATGACAAATCAGGTGCTACCTGCAGTCTCCTACTGTGCGTTAGGCAGTATGTCGGGGTCGGTCACCAAAGGGCCACAGTCACATGCTATTATTCCTTCTTCACTTTCTCTTGAATGGGACAAACGTCAGAGCGCCGGAGTGCACTGTCTCCGGGATTTGGCCGCAGACGCGCGCTGAGGCTGCAGGAGGACGCAGCGAGAGCGGTGATGGCTGAGTGACATCTGAACACTGTTGTGTGTGTTATTTATTCACGAGCAACTGTCAGCGACGTGGAGTCCATCGAGGATACAATCGGACTGTTCTATGGCTTGTTTTTTCGGCCATGGAGAGTGGATGCCCTTGTGGATGGACTTTACGCTGTGGAGTCCTTATTGGAAGCGACGGGACATTTATTTTGAAATATAAAACCAAGCTGCTGCCACTGACCGCGTCTCTGTGAATCAGAGGTGGGTATGATAATTAAGATCTAAAAGTATTTTGGGGAAGGAAGATGTGACTCTTGATTGATCGGCCTTTAAAATTACAATGAGCTCATGGGACAGTTGTAGCCTATGGAGTGTGCAATTTGAAATCACTGGCAATACACAATATAATCGGAAATGACATACACAAGTAACCTATAATCAGAGCGTACACAAACAAGACACCAACATAAAGACAGTATGTTTACCATGTTGCATTTTTATGACAATAACTATTATCTAAATGAATACACATATACCCAATGTTATATAATGAATTTCTTTAATCAACAGTGATGATGACTTAAGTGAAAAGACAGAGGATTCCTAAAATTAGCCATTTGGGACCCACAAACAGAAGACAGAAGAGCTCACGACCATGGTCATTACACTGAGGATTCAAGTTTCCACTACCTCTTCAGCACTGCAGCTCAAATGATGTCGAATCTAATTCACATAGTCAGGAGGCAAATGTCCGGCCCGGAAATGGCTTGCCTCAAACATCTCATCCTTCATCATTTATCAGAAGATACAATGATGGAGATTGTTTTGCAAGGCTGGAGCACAGGAGCCTCCTAGATTCTAATCCTGCGGATACAATGTAGCACGGCTCCTCAGTATGACTTAAATAAACACTCTACTCCAAACCCACACATGTTCAGGGATGGATCTCATGAACTTCACAACTGTCGCCGACAGTGGGTTTTTGGATGAGGCTCCATCGAGCCGCGTCCTGACGGGCTGTTTCCTCTCGCTGCTCATCCTCACCACCTTGCTGGGAAACACTCTTGTTTGTGCCGCCGTCACCAAGTTTCGACATCTGCGCTCCAAAGTGACCAATTTTTTTGTGATCTCACTGGCCGTGTCTGACCTCTTGGTCGCCATCTTGGTGATGCCGTGGAAGGCGGTGACAGAGATCACGGGGTTCTGGCCGTTCGGCTCCTTCTGTGACACCTGGGTGGCTTTTGACATTATGTGCTCCACAGCGTCCATTTTAAACCTTTGTGTGATAAGCTTGGACCGCTACTGGGCCATCTCCAGCCCCTTTCGCTACGAGAGGAAGATGACACCCAAAGTGGCCTATGTGATGATCAGTGTGGCCTGGACGCTGTCTGTGCTTATTTCCTTCATCCCGGTGCAGCTCAACTGGCACAAGGCCCAAACTAAATCTTCCACCCCTCTCACTGGGGCGCCTGGGTCTTCAGGTTTTAATGCTACATCTTATGCCAGCACAGAGAACTGTGACTCGAGTCTGAACAGGACCTATGCCATCTCCACCTCACTCATAAGCTTTTACATCCCCGTAGCCATCATGTTGGCCACCTACACCCAGATCTACCGCATTGCCCACAGACAAATCAGGAGGATCTCTGCACTGGAGCGAGCGGCCGAAAGTGCCAAGAACAGACATGACAGCATGGGCGGAGGCTCCAGCATCGCAGAGTCCGAGAGCTCTTTCAAAATGACGTTCAAGAGAGAGACCAAGGTGCTGAAGACGCTGTCGGTCATCATGGGGGTGTTTGTGTGCTGCTGGCTCCCATTCTTCATCCTCAACTGCATGGTGCCCTTCTGCGAGCAGTCGAGCGGAGGGGAGGCTTTCCCCTGCATCAGCCCCACCACGTTTGATGTGTTTGTGTGGTTCGGCTGGGCTAATTCCTCCCTCAACCCCATCATCTATGCCTTCAATGCAGATTTCCGCAAGGCCTTCGCCATCCTGCTGGGCTGCCACAGACAGTATCCAGGAGGCCACAACATGGAGACGGTCAGTCTAAACAAGAAATGACTCATGACTCTCTCACAGCACTGACTCATCCTTAATGCTAAGAGTCCGAGTTGCTGTGCTGACTCTGAGTGTGACTGAAGGATCCGGTGACCCTATATGTATCCCTGTTTGAAAGACAAGTGGCCCGTCTGTGTGCAGACTGTCAAGAGTGAGCTTGCCATGCTTACTATGATCGCTACAGTCTTCAAATGGAAGAAGCTCCTGAAAGAGGAGAGGGGATTTTGGGCGATTGAGATTAAGACTCTGGGATGTTGTGCCAGGGAGCTGGGAGTGCAGTGGTGCTGACACGCCCCTGGGAAAGATAATCCCATGACTGGGCAGCACACACCCTAATTCTGTCAGATATTCTTGAATACCATCATACACACGTACACAAACACTGCCAAAACAAGCTCCTCCAAATACAGCGTAAATGCAGCACCCAGCGTGCACACTACAACGTATTACATGACAGCACACAGAAATACTGTTAGTCATTATGTTCATCCTGTGCTCTGCAAGGATTCCAGCAGTAAAGCATCAAACCAAATCCACATGGATGAACATGTAGGTAAAGTACATCCACATGTGACTTAATATTGAAGCAAGAATGAAAACAGATTTGATCTTACATTCGGCTTGATCCATTCATTGTGCGATTTTACAAGTTCTCAGAAATGGACACTAACGAAAATGTGACCTGTTTTGGAAGTAAAGGTACAGAGATGTGAAAACTGTAGTTCGTCAAACAGCAGGTCACATCTCATTGTTGATGCTGGATCAGAATTGTTATTTATATTTCATCCAAATGTCAAATCATTACAACTTTAAACCAAATGTAGTCAACAGACACCTTATAAATTATTTGCTTCACTGCTTGAAAGTGTTTTATGGATGAGTGTCTCATATCACTTTGTGTGTCCTGTATTTTTCATTAACAACAGCTGATGACCTTTTTTAAGGGAAAGATCTAAACAAAGGTTTTTCTTGATTTGTGGTGTGTTTGACTATACTATATGCTTAGGCTGATACACAATTGTAATTGACTGAATTGTTTGGGTAAATCAGTTTAAATTTGCTGCTTTAAAGTTAATTATTAAAGCATAACCTTAGTTTATAACAACTTGGGTCTTACTTCTATAGGTCTGGCTATCATTCCTTTTAGTTCTGATCACCTTGTACTTACTAAAGCAACTGCTGACATCTTGGAACACTGACATCACCACAATGAAATCCGACAATCCGGCAAGAAACAAGAGCAGTCAGACGATCAGACCAGTTGTAAACCAACCCACAGTAAGATTATTGATGCCTCTGTATTTAGAAGAAAAACCAAAAGTGAGCACAAGAAAAAGATTAATACTAACGTAGCGTAATTAGTTTGAATTAATTTGAAGACACATAACCTTATCCTAAATTATGTTGTGGAATAAATTTTGCATTCATTTGATGTTAAATTTTAATAAATTCATATTTTTAGAAGGTAGTAATCCTCAACGGTAGAAGCAATTAAAGTAAGCATGGTATGCAAGTACGAGGAACAAGGAAATCAGTCTGTAAACTGTGATGGGTGTTTACAATTAACAGTTTGCGTAATCATTTTTACAGTTCCCCTTTGTTTTCTCTTCCATATAAGCCTGGCTAGGCTGAGGGTGTGTTTGAAGTCTGTGATCTGATTAACTGACTGCCTGTATCTGTTGTCTCATCAGATGTCTTTTTAGCGATGTCCCATGTTTCTAGCTCTCAGCAGTCAAAGAAATTAATATTTGGGAAGTAGCTTTCTTGCCTGACTTCATGGAGTTCCTGGCAACCTCACAGTGAGAGCAAGGCTCCAGGAAGTCACTGTGCCCAGTCTAGAAATAGTCCCACATGTAACTCTGCGTAAAAACCACAACTTGTTGTTTTCACACTTAAGATAAACCAAATAACATATAATAAGTCAATTAATGAGCTTTAGAGGTGCTGGTGCACTTTAAAAAAAAACCTTTGCACAGAGCCAAGCTAGTTGTTTTTCGCGCTGCTTCCAGTCTTTATGCTAAGCTAAGCATCTCCTGGCGGTAGCTACATACTTATTACATACTTAATGCACAGAAATGAGAGTGGTATTGATCTTCTCATTTAACACTCGGCAACAAAGCAGATACGTTTATTTCCCAAAATGTAAAATCAATCCTTTAACTCGGTGACTACAATATTATCATGGCTGATAGAAATGATGGCTAAAACTCTGAAAAAAAGACCCAGGAATTATCCTATAAAGTGCAGCATTGTATGGTGGAATATCAAGAACAGGTTGTATTACTGTCATTCATCAACAGTTACCTCTTATTTGGTGTACTGTATTTATTTTTTTTATGTGCTAACTTTATGTGCTAACTTGCTTCATCAGTTAGCTACAGTGAGCAGTGATGACACAAACAAAAGCTGTAGGTGTTTATACTTGGCTAAAAACAATCTACTTAGAATGTGCAGTTGTTACAGACGTCTGACCAATGAATGCATGTTATGTTAAATTCATAACAGTATAACCCATCAGAAGAAACAGCTGTGCAGGGTCTGCTTCAGCCGTGTGGGAATATCTAAACGCACAACTAAAATAAAAGCGTATTTGTCCAGTTTCGTGAAATGCACTGTGTGGTGTGTGTTTGATTGGTGCTACAACTTTGACCTCCACGGATCCAACCTCCTGAAGCAAATTTCACACCAGAGTCTAAAGGTTAAAACTGAACTGGACCAGCTGTGTCTCACGTCCAACATGTCTTGCATAACTCTGGTGTTCATGTGTCTGTTAGTCAGGTGATGTATTGCCATCATTAGCAAAATGAAAGGCCCAATCTGGAGTCATGAATAGCCTGGAATAATAAAGTAGAGCAACCACTGTGACACTGGCACCTCTTCATCCCCACTGTTGGCTTTGTTTCTTCCATTTGTCACACTTAAGTTGTTTTTCACTCGCAAATAACTGGCTGAACCCTTGAAACAATACCTAGAAACTAAGTATGAATGTTGGGTCACAGGTGAAATGAGGAGACAGTGGTGATTGTAATTTTCTTTGTATGCTATGGATGTACCTGCCACTAGAACCTGCACACTTAAATCTAATTAAATGCTTGAATGGGAGTGAGACGGAGATCAAGGTAGCTGAAGAGTGGAGGGAAAGCAGAGCAGCGGTTTTGTGATGGATTTAGTTTTACACCCAGAAAAACATTCCCTCCCATATCTGCCTGCTATGTCTTATAATTGTAAATGAAATCGAAAAGTTGATTTGATATTAAGTTTGTGTTTATTAAAGCTAATGCTTATCTTCAATAACCATAAAAATCGGAATGAGATGAATTTCAGTGTGTCACATTGCCTTGTTGCATAAGCAATTTAAAGGGATTTAAGAATTACGAGCGACTCTCGTTAAACTGCAAGTCTCAAAAGATTTAGAGGACAGATTTTTTTAAATGAAATTAAGTGTATGCTCATTAGAAATATGAATAAGTGAAAATACTGTAATGATAACTCTTTCGCACGCGCACACACACGCACACACACGCACACACACACACAAAGTTGTCCTTTAAAGCTCGCTTTCTCTGGGCCCTGGCCTGTCCTTGCCTCTGTGAAACCTCCTCAAGCGTGCCATGGGAAGGGAACAGCAATTAATTTGACTGACATCATTCAGAGTGATGGCTGAGGTGGCGACAAGACAGAGAGTGTGTGTGCATGTGTGTGTGTGTGTGGGTGCCATCACCTGCTCCAGCGCCCAACTAGAGTACCCGCAATGTCATCCACACTCCGTAAACACACAGAATTGGTTCCCTTTCGCTATCTTTTTGTTCCAGCGGAGCTTGTGAGATTCTCAAAGCGATACTGTCTTTTTAGATTGGCACATCGGAGAAGCAATGTTAGACGTGGCGACTTCAAATGATGCTAATGACTGGCCCTGGGGAAATGATTTGCTGAGACAGGGAGAGAGAAAGAAAGGGGCAAGGAGAGAGACAGTCTTATGTAAGTATCAAGCAATGGCAACGTAGAAGAGAAACTCAAAGGATGCTCTGTAAGTACCACCAAAGCCAGACTGCTGTCACATCTATAATGAAGAATTCGTCTTGGTCACATGCTGTGTGTTTTATATGCAGGCACACCTGGCCATGTGAAAGTGGATTTTTAATGTAGTTGAATGATTTCCTTGTCAACCTCTCTTCAGGCGGGATCTTAGGGAATTGAAATGCAATTAAACAGTTTGCAATAATCTGTATTACTCCCCATTAAATATGTATTATTCACATCTGGCAGAGCTATCATAATTACGCTAGAGCCGAATGCATTTTTAATTTCTCACACCAAGATAAGCCAAGATAAGCATAACCGAAGAGTAAGCGTGTTGGTGACTTCAGCTAAAGTGCGTCAACACGGCTACATGCTGATGGACATGAAAGAACTTTGCATGTTGAAAAATACTGTCACTCCGTTTGTCAGTGTCTGCTCGCCTTGGTGAGGTAAGCAGAGGCTCTATATTAATTTCCAACAGAGAAGGGAGCGATTAAACAAGGCAAGCACACATCAGGCCACTACTGTAACATCACTTACGCATCTAGGGGAAATATGTTTATTTCAGGGCTGAAAGAGGCTATCTTTGTAATCCTTGGAATACATTTAAAGAGTGCACACACATATCTGATGCCAGCAATAGGCTATTTCATGCAGTGCTTCAAAAATAGATACTGTACACTAGCCTCGGTTGGAGATCGCCCTGCACATCTTTTGACCTTTAGTGTTCGTCCTTTGTGGCAAGCCCTCTTCGTAGTTTACTCTCGCTCTTCATTTCTCTTTCTTATCACACCCCTCCGCTTTCTTCCTCCACCCTCGCTCTGTTTACTGTGCTGCGGGCCGCTAGCATTGCCGTGTTGCCATTTGTCACTCCAACTGGCTCCAGTGGAGAGGACAGGCCCTCTGACCCCACCACTGGGAAAGGCGCAAGGCAACAAGGGGGAAAAGGAGAATCACAGAAGGCTCTTCAGAAAGAGCAGAGGAAAAAAAATATTATTACAGAGGACAGAGATGGAGGACACAGCAATCTGGGACTTCCTGACTTTTGGGTCCTTTTCCACAATAAATAAAACACACATTTGAATACACAGATGCATAAAGCTTTAACATAGACTCAGCAAGTCTCTGAAACCTCCACAGGAGGAAAGAAAAATGTATTTGATGCTTTCATGATGTTGGTGGAGAGCATGGTCTAAAATGTCGCTCTAAAATCTCCCATAGGTGGTCAGTTATGTTCTAATGACTGTGAAGGCCAGATTAAATGGTTCACATAATTTACATACTCATCAAACCAATCATCCATCGTTCCTTTGCGCTCTGTGTGGATGCATCTGCATTCATCACGTCGCTTATGCCGATTTAATCAAGTCTTTTCCCCCTACTTTGTCACCCATCTGTACATGGCATGAAGTGAGAGTGAGTGCAAGCAAGAGACGATGCAGTTGCACATGTAGGCTACAGTGGAAGTGTGGTATCCAATATTTGTGCGTTCGGACACCACAGAAGCAACAGGGGCTTCCTTAGGAGAGGAGCATAGCAACTGTTTCACCGCATTCGCTCTTTTATATATTCAATAGTTGTTCAATAACCCTTCATCAGTTGTTTTGTTTTGGTACATTTGTGGGCTCCCCTCACAAATCTAAATCATCTGAACTAAACATTACTGACACAGTTTGCAGTGTCATACCACGACATGGAGTGACCTCTGCTGGAGATGGGCCGAAAATGGAGATGAGTTGACCTGGGTCTTTGCTAAATTCATCCTGATTAAATCCTCCACAGAAACGAAGACAGATTTGATGCATTGGTCGCATAATTGTTCATATCACCCCTCATCTCTGGCCTATCACAGACTGTCAGTGAGGCAGGGTAGAGAACATCACTGAAACACGTTAAATGAGCAAGTCAGTGAAGGCATATCAAATTATACAATGAATAATAAGCCGGGTGCAAATGAGGCTGGATCCTGTTTTCAACAGGGGAGATGTCCACTCCAGCTACACTCCGCAGCTTAGCTGGAGAGAGTTGTTGTCTGGCAGAGACGGCTCTGAGTGGAGACCATGCTATTAATGATGCCAATGTTAGTGCTCATGCTGGTAGGATGCCCCATGGGTGAATTCTGACGATGCAAATGCTAATCAGCTAGCTTGTGGGGGAGAGCAGATGTGTCTTATCTCTTTAAGAGCACCACATCAGCAGCAGGAGCTGACAGAGACAGAGCAACAGAGTGATTACTGACAACTATGCGATAGTTGTCCCTTCCACCTGGGCTTAAGATAGGCGATAGCTGCTGTCCGTCTGGCCTGAGTGTGTTGGTAAACAGTGTTGACCACAAGAGGATTGGAGCTGATGCCATACCAGGCGTGCCAAGCTCTGTTAATGCAGCAGACTCTTTGTAAAATGTTACTTTCTTAGATGTTACAGGTCTGTCTACTACTGAGTTTCAACACCTTTCAAAGGAGCATTATTGAAGGAAAGCATGTGACATATGATGCTTCTTTGCTAAAGGCTGCTTAGGAAACACTATGTATCATTACAGAGATAGCTCACACCCCACCACACCTCGTTATGATTATGAGTTCCTTTTGCACGGTTTAATTTTTCAGTGGTGGTGGTGATTCACGCAATTTCATAAAAATGTGTCTTTCGCTGGCTGAAGTAATCTTACATAGCCACACCAAAGTCTGTTACAAGGTTTGACAATGTATTTTCTTTATTTTAGACATGCAGAATTAAGTTTTAATATTACATACATCGTTATTGATCATTTATAACACTTTTATTGTATTTATATATTTCTTTTTGTTTAATTTAAGTTGTCATGTACCTTTTGCCTAAAAGTAATTATAGTTCCCACCTGCTGTTGTTTTATGAGGGACATGAGTGACAGACTCAGAGTAATGTGCAACAGTAGAGTGGGGAGTCTGCTGTGAAGTTGAGTGTACACTGTCTTGGTGTGTGGGTATCGATTATTCAAACAGAAATTGCAGCCCACGTTTTACCCACAGGCCAGCGGGACTGGAGAAACAGGGTTACATTAGTTTGAAGTTATGATGACAGCCCACTCCCGACAAGAGTTTATAAGAGGATTATTCCATACCACATATTAATGAGTATTTAGTGTGTTCACGGTGGAAAAGTGACAAAATTAAGCACTTTCAAAGATGTCAATGTGTGTTGCAAATGGACACTGCACTCCCACAGTGCATTGCACAAGGGAAAGTGAGCTAATTCAGGCTCAGCTTTTCTGCTCACAGTAAATATATAATAGATCAAACATTAGGCTAACATTAGGTTGTTTTTATTGCTCATGA